GAAATCTGGAGCAAGAGTGAGGACAAGATCTGATCCAAATACATTTTCTGCTCAAGAATTCATGTACACTTCACACGGCATTAACAAATTGAAGAATACACTGGCCGCCGAGGCTTTGCATACACAGGTGTTCTGCACAAACTTTGCGGGAATGCTCCAATGATCCCACTCCAAAGGTTTGAAGTGGTTTGAAAGGAGCAGAAAAAGAATGTGGAGGAAATGAAAGCACAGGGAGGGGATGCAGCTCGAGCATAGATGGCAGAAGGAAAAAATGTTGAAACAGATAGTGTTAAGAAGAATTTGATGAAGATCAGAAAAAGAAATGCCGTGCCGTGCTGTGGTGCCAACACTGCCGTCAAAGAGCAGGATGAGTGTTGGGAGTATCTCCTCCCTGCTAATCTCATATTTCTTTGCACTTTGGTGAGTGAATGCCGAAAGAGGGAGTGCTGTCAAGGTTTTATGTGGCTCTTTGAAAACAGAAGAAGCCCCTTTGCAGTACAATATATCAAGCTTCAGAAGTCCTCTGATAACAGAGCACTTGTATCTCCCTCCCCAGTTTTTGTAAAGCAGCCCAGTTTGAAATCCATTCTGGACTCTATTGTTTAGTCTAACAGACATCCCTTAGATCATCTCCATCAGTAGCTCAAACAATTCATTTCAAAGTCTCTTCAGAACCTCTGAAGACTGTATTTGGCACAATGGTTGGGTATTGGTGTTGTGTAGTGGCAATATGACTTTTTTTTATAGAAAAAATGGGTGACAATAATTGAAATGAAACATTTTTTATAAAGTATTACCTTCGTTATTACCTTCAATACAACTGCATGCAATTGGGTCACACCATGTTTTTGTTTTATAAAAGCAGACTGACTCCTGACTAGAGGTATTTTTTCTGTAGGTGTTTTTCTGGGACAATACTGACAATCAGTTATTCTACTTATTATTCTAAATTATTCCATATTCTGCAACAAGAAATGCAAGAACTGTTTACGCCCCAAAATGAACACACATGTGCATATTATTTGTTGATAAATGAAAGACTGGTCAAAGCTGACTATGGTCTGCTGTTAACAAAGCAAACTGGTTGGAAGGAAAGAATAACCACAAAGTCAATAGGTGATGCTGATAGTCTTCACATCATTAGGACCTCCCTGATGCCTTTGATGGCTGCTCCGCTCCGTACAACTCATTATTGGGAGATGGGCCGTTCAAAGTCCAGTAACTATTTCCTGATTGCTGTTTTTATATTGACTTTTGAATTTGAATTATACAAGAATTGTTTTAGTCGGAACGTCTTTATTGTGTATCGCGTGTAGTGTGAAACTGTGAGAAGAAACAGAAATCTGATTTGTCAGGGTCAATGTGATCCAAAGACCCATCAGATCCTAGTCCTGTGCCGGGATCCTCCAGGGACAGGGCTTTTGTTTGGGTAAGCCGCTGATTGAAGTGAAGTCTCTGTTGGGAAATCCATTAGTGGCGCAGCGGGCCCAGAAAAATGATCCGGCCTTGTCACTCCACATCAGGAGCTGCTCGGACACTATCGGACTGAACCGGGATGAGCTTGAGCCTTTGAACTAGAGACGGCCAGATAGAGCAGTAAATGAGCCAACGTGCGAAGAGGATATTTGGGTAACTAGCAGCAATTTGACCACTTTGTTATCTGTGAATGTGAGAAAGGTGATGAGCTATGAAGAGATAAGGGGTTAATTGTCTATCTCCAACCATCTAAACTGACCATAGAAACTTCACCATTTTATTTTTGCTCTCTCAGATGTGTTTTTTTTTTTTGTTCCTTTTACCATTACAATTTTCTAACTTGTAGCCTTAAACCGTCCCATGTTTTGAGAACATTTAGTCTCTATATATTTATTTCTATTGTCTGTAGCTTCATCAATATTATGCCATTCTGCAGCTTTCGTAGAGACCTGTGTCCTTCGAGTGCTGCCTGTTGTATATCAGCAGCACTGCCACCGCCTTGCTCTTGATTTATGGCTGTTTATCTGCGGTCACCCCTTCTTTTAACAGATGGGCTCTGGCTATTTACTCAGGGGGAAAAGAGCCCAATCTGATCAAATGAGGACAGCAAACATTAAGTAATTAGGCCACGCTTGTGATTGCAATTGATTGGTTTGCACAGAAATCAGGAGACTTCTCATTCACATGCTGCCGTGTGCAGGAAGTGGAGGCTAGGTTTCCACTTTAATTAATTGCAGACCACCATAAAATACCTGTAGAATCATTAATTGTATGAGAAATGAACCTTTAGTCAAAAATATCTGGTTTTACATTGCCTTCTTACATCCTAGAAATGGATATGTAATTGCTTGTATTTTTACAGATCATTGGTTGCCAAATTGGAGGGAGTTTTTTTTCTTTTTTTTTTTCAAAAGAAAGGCTGAATATTAAAACATGATTATATAATTATCATCCCATCGTTGCTACATTGTTGTCACTACCTGCCAGCGTCATGTTTTCCTCCTCACTTTGAAATATACCAACCAGATTTTGACCCTTTCACCTGCCAGCCATAAATTGTGATTCCTGCTTTATGTTTCTCATAATCTGTAGTTAAATGCTTTGAAAGCGACGTCGTAGCCAAGTTCACAGTAGTCTGAAACATCTTCTGTTGCATTCCCGACAGACAGCCTGATACATCGCTCAGAAAAACTAGTATTTTCTCAGGATTAAAGGCTGATGAATGTGTCCTCGGAGCTTAAATGCAGATGATAATTCAGGGACGGTACGCTCTCCCTGTCCGTCTGCGTTAATTTGTCAAGTCACGTCCAAAATGGAGGCGGGAAGAGTGCGACATCGTTGGTGGGCCTCTTGATGAGATAATCTGAGCCAGAGTCTTCGCTGATCAGAAACACTTAGGCTTTATCTAAGTCCTCATTCAGCACCAAGTCATGCCCACGCACACGAGCACGTACTCATGTGGACACTGCAATAACAATGGAACTGTTAACGGAGCTCAGAGAGACGGTCCATGTGCTGGAGTTTACTAACTGCTGAAGATGATTAAGATTAAGGGATCCTTTATTTGTCCCATATTGGTGAAAAATCAGTGTTGCATCACAAGTAACAGAACAGAAGGATTGAGGAGCACACAATGAAAGATAAGTGAATATGCAGTAAAGCACAACTCTATACCTTGAAAATAAAATCTCTATCTTTAACTTATATATAAACTTAGTGAGTCATTAGCTTGGTGGGTTGAATTATTCACCGTGAGTATACTAATGTAAATGTTAGCAGCATGAGGGTATGGGCTAGAAGTGACATGTTGTCCCATATTACCCATTCTGACATTGAGTAAGTAAGTAAGTAAGTAAGTTTTTATTTATATACCGCCTTTTCACTGCAGATCTGAGTCTCAAAGCGGTTTACAATTGTTAATTTTGGGCATTTGTCTCTCACTCCACACAGAGATGGGAGCCGGGTCGCCAGTACAGGAGGCGCATGCCAGAACTATTGGACATATTTTTAGTGGTAGGGGAAACCGGAGTACCCGGAGGAAACCTACGCAGACACGGGGAGAACATGCAAACTCCACTCAGAAAGGCCCTGGTCCGGCCGGGATTCGAACCCAGGACCTTCTTGCTGAGAGGCGAGAGTGCTATCCACTCAGCCACCGTGCCGCTAAATACCCCATTGTAATTGTGTAGTGTAGTTGCATTCAATATCAAACTGAAGTATATGAAATACAGACTCTTAATAGTCACAATGAATAGTTTGACTTATGTTTTTGTTTTCATATTTAGGACAATAGACATTAAAGCATCTTTAAAGACATCTTAAAGCAGCTTGGCGACAAAGTGGTGAGTCCGCCTGCTTTGAAGGTTTCATGAACAGTAACTGTACGGTTGGTTGCAGGGTGGTTAGCACTCCTGCCACTCAGTAAGAACCTCTTGGGATTGATACCAGGATAGGGCTTTCGCGAGTGGGGTTTGCATGGTCTCCCCGTGCTTCAGTTTCCCCCTACTTTAAAAAACATGCTGGTCAGGTTGGACCACAGTGTTTCGGCGCGCCGCTTAATGACCGTTACCATAATAATTGAAGTATGAAATTACCTTTCCTTATTCCCCGTAGAGGTTTCGAAAAAAGATAAGGGTGTGAGTTATTAAATGTGTTTCCTATGCGTATCCATCCGGACCAGTGGTATCAGTTCAGGTGGGAGATATTCCCCAGAGCTCAGCTCTCACTAAGAACAGCAGAGGACGCAAGAGCACATCTGGAGTCAATCTTTACAATAGTCTCTGTGTATACCAACCTGCTCAAGTGCTCTCCATCCCCATATCTCTGCAATTATCCAGTGCCCATGCAATCTTTAAGAAAACGTCATTAATCCATGTCCTTAGATCATTTTTACATGTTGTGTCAGGTGAGCTCGGTCTATACTAGCCCCACACAAGTCGGTCCTTAAGACTCAGGAGATGAACGAGGAGGAAATGACATCATGCAGCTTGAAGTCTCTAGCTTGGCATAAGGAAACTCTGACTTATGGTGTGAAAACATGAGGGAGCAGATAAGACATGGGTTTAATGACTTCGACGGAACACTTGGCGGAAATTAACGTTGACGCACGCTGTTAATATCTCACCGTTCCCTCAGTACCACCATCACCCTGATACCGATAACTCCTTTAAATGAAATTAAATCGTAAAATGCTTTAATTTGTACGCATTCCCGAGCTGTTTATGAATACAGTGGTTACCCCGGCTAATGTAGGAAAATACTGAGCAGCCAAAACATAAAACGAACGTGGTGAGCCAATAAGGCGAGATAAACCGTGCGGAGCAGCGAGAGCCAAAGACAACATGAGCAGAGGGGAAAGTGTCCTGCTGGCATTGGGTTTCTCAGACTAAGTGTTATTTGAAAAGCAGCTGAAGGGTGACACTCACTATCACTCCGACCACATCGCCTCTCGTCTTCCTCCTATGCTCACTCCACCATCTGTTCTCTCTCTCTCTCTATCTCTCTCTCTCTCTCTCTCTCCGCAGGCTGCTCTAAGTGCCTTGAAACAGCTGTCTGAGCAGGGACTGGACCCAGTGGATGGCCCTGTCAAGGTAGGCCACAAATATCAGCCCCCTCTTGTACATAAACTGGTGTGAGGCAATTAAGACAGGCAGGCTGCAAGTAATGGCTTTGAAATCAATCGCCAATTCAGTCTCGTTCACAAGACGTCCTGCAGAGATAATGGATGATGTAAAATAGCCACATACAGCGTGTAACGATACTGTTTGTATTGCAAAGGTATTTAGGGAGCACCAATCATGCGCCTTGGATCGCCATGTTTGTTTATGTAGCCGGTTAGCAGCTAACACAGTTCGTTGTAATTTTGTTCAAAAAATGGAAGAACAGCAAATCAAAAGAAAAACTTATGGATGTAGCTCAAGGGAGACAAAAGACGGTAGATTACCAAAATAAAAGTCAGCTAGAGACAGAAGATAGAAATAAAACTGAAGTAGATTTTTGGAAAGGACTTTTTATTCTTCCAGGATAATTGCAAATACATAATGGTATTGTTGTAGAACGCTAACTGGGGTTATAAATCAATTTAACTTAAGAATGAATCTAATTATGAATTAGGATATCTGGGACAAAGTTCAAAGCTAGTCAATCTGTTCAAGCTAACTAAACTGTTGTTCTGTAGAGACGCGAGGCCAATGACGGGGTGGAGGCAGATACTAGCTTGATATCAGGGGCAAGAAGAGCGGGCTCACCGGTCATACTGACCATTCTTCCTAATATCAGAGTAATATCAGAGTCTATCAGAGTAAGACGTCAGAAGAGAGGGGGGTTTGGGCTACGGCTACCACTTAATCTCGGACTCAGAGACGCCATAGATAGACTCTTCTGTTGTTCCATCCTATAAATATGAGAGAGAGTGAGCACTATTCGGCAGATCTATCCGGGACCTGCCACGCGGTTACACGGTTGTATTTCCTGTATATGTATACATTTACTGAGATAATAAACCACACTTTGATTTGAATTACAGCTCTTGTTGTTTATTTTATATTTAATATTGTGTATTTCACTCCTTAGAAATTCCACAACAGTATATAATACACTAAATAGGATGTCTGCATTCAGTAAACTCAACATTTCACTAAATAAGTTTATAACATCAATGCAATTTCAATACTAAAACAATCTTCACCTGTTTCCTTGTTCCAAATGTTTCCGACCAAAATCAGCAGTTCACATTCTTCTTTTCAATATACTGGCTCTGTTTATTAAGTATAGAAAAGACAGACGTGTACATATATTAACTTCCTATCTCAAGTCTCCTTTTCATCTTCTCAAAAGTAGGTCAGTATTTCATGTTGAGACCTTCTGTTACTGATGACCTACATCATAAACAATTAAATAAAAACGCTACTATTCTCTGCGAGGTGTTTAATGACAGTCTGTTTGCCAATATCATAACAGCCCTCTCATCCTCCCTCCTACGCAGAGCGACAGGGAGAGATTTCCTCCACAGAGCTCTCCTATAGGAAAGTCTGCTGTAGGCGTCAGATACATTTACATGCACTGTCATCCTGTCACTGTGATGCTTATATGGGCTCCGGCTTCAGCTGCAGCAACGCTCTCCATTTGCCTCATTTCCTTCCTCAAAATAAAGAATACCAGGCAGATTTATTTGGAAAGTACAATCTAGCATTTCTCTGTTATCTTAGAAGGCGTGTCATGGGAAGACTTTGGGCAGAGCTGTTTTCTCTGTGCCCTGTGCCTCAGTAATGTTCCAGCTTCAGTCAGCGCCTCCGACTAGAGCCAAGCTGGTAGCACTTACACTTTCACCTGTGTGCCGTTTAAGCCCTCATGTTTTAGTCAGCGCAGGAGACACAAAACAGATTCAGGTCAAGGCCTGTTTAATTGTGCCGCTACAATGACAACAAATGTTCGGATTTGATGGAAATGCTCATTTATCAGTAAATTCCTGTAGAATGAAACCTCACTTTGGCTGTTTTTCCACTGAATCATATTTAGTGGAAGTAACTAGGTTTTGTTGAGAAATGAAGAAAATGAACGGCAATTGCACCAGGCTTTTTATATGATTTGTGCCAATGTGTATAAGAACAGAGATCTCATCACTTGAGATATAAATGACTCATGCTTAAAGGATTATACAGTAGGAAGATTTTCCCAAATTTTTAGGAAATTACCGCCCTCTCCTTATTTGACGAGTACGCATCACCAGAATGATTGACGACCAATAGTCTTGAGGATCCACCTGGAAGTAGAAAATCCTCCTATATACCTTTAAGATGTAGACACTGTAGTAACAATGTGGACAAAGAAAAGACATGCAGTTCTTCATGTTTAGCAGTAATACAGATATAACTGAGGTCCACATTACAAAATATGGGTCAGGTTCCACTGAGTCACATTTAGACTAATAAATGTTTTTGAAGGTGTGTGATTATCTTGTTTTAGAGAATGGAGATCATTTTTTATAAGTGAGGTAATTTTCTCAATTTATTTCCCATTAAAATTCTAAAAGAATTGTGTATTTTGGAGTCAATTAAGTGTGTTGCACCATGTACTTTGCTGCCTTCGATCTCGGTCCAGTTGAACTGAACTGAACTCTATGGACTGATTACGCTGCGTCCTGTTGACTAATAATAATTGTCTTTTTCAAACGAGTGCGTCTGACCTCATGCGTTTTTGTTTCAGACCAGTGAAGCCTGTGGGAGGGAGGACGGACATTGAACAGACTAACTCAGGCACCACCACTCAGGTCTGCAAGGATTCAAAGGCTGTCGTCCAGGAGCTGACAACCTCCCCAAAAATCACCCCAATCCCCCTTTTGCCAAAATCCTCCAATGACCGACCCCCCACAAACTCCCAGCCCCCTATAGTACTACCCCCACGATCGCCACTGTATCCTGCAAAACCTGCCAACATGCAATAGGGTGGATGTGCACCGAGAAATGACCGACTACAAAACACAACCTGAGTCTATGTGAAGACAACGCTATATTAATATGTTTATGAATTATTTCTGTGGAAGAAAACACCGTTAAGAGATCCATGCATGGTACTGTACGACAACAAGGGAAAAGCATAGACAGTTTCCCTCACCGATATGCGATGGTATGGTTAAAGAGAAATATGTACATCATGCTGTGTAGAAGATTTCAAGGGGCAAACCCAACTTGCATACAGTAGCTTACTTCTGGGGGTTCTGTTTTTTTTTTTTTTTTTGATTTCGTTTTTGTTCTTTTATTAATCTAACAATGCTTGAGTACTGTATTTAAAATTAACCAATGCCAGTGCTGTGAAAGTTGTAGTTGTTGTCTTCATATATAGTCACCCAGCTTACCTTGTATGCTGATTTTTAAAAAGAAAAAAGTAAATTCATCTATCTATATGGATGTGTATGACTTGCAAGAGTATCATATTCCAGAAAATAACACCGTTTTTTTTTCTTTCTTTTTTTTTTATGTGGACGAAAAGGACAAAAACTGGTGTTAGCAGTATTCAGTAGAAGTGTGACAAACGGACGTCGAGGATGACCTTCACCTGTACTCCTTGTATGTTTTTTTTACTAAACCCACAGTTGGGCACAGCATCACTGGAGTGGAACGCTTCATCACATAAAAGGCCAGTCATTTCAACAGTGGCAGTTCACATTAGCGCCAGTCAAATGTTTTAGTGTCCAAACAAACTTTGTGAGAGCTTCGTATGGGCGCTATGCCAACTGCATGTCCTCCAGCAATGAAAGGTCCTCTCCATTCCAGTGATTTTGTGTCAGTGGACCACCCTCCCCTCTTCCCCGTCCACTGTTTTGTCGATCACATCTACACCCATTGTGTGTGTTGTATTGACTCGCCAAAGCATCAACTGGGTGCTTTTAATGCCTGCATCTTTTGGAGCAGAGGTCTCCAAAGGGCCACCTACAATTACTCGTTCACTGACATTGAGGATGTGTCGTCTTCGCTGTGAGTGCAATTGTGTAATAATGCGGCTGTTTGTGTTACGGAAATGCAGTAAAAACACCTCAGTTCATGTGGAAAAGCGCTACGTTTCTGACTCTTTTTTTTATCTTTTAATGAATTCACAATGATTAATGGTGATTAATTAATGCAAATATGGTTGTGACACAGTATTAACGGTGCGAAATGAGAAAGATCAGTAGATTACACACACCACACACACTGTCAATGTCATTTAGAACAGAACATATAGAAAACAACTCTTTAGGTGCCAAAGTTACAGGATTTCGAGCAGGACAATCTCTATACCTAACTTCCTACAAAGATACATATTTTTATTTTTATTAATTTTGGGTATTGCTTTTATTAGTCCTCTATATCTTGCAAAGTTTCAGGGCTCCACCTTTTGTCTTTTTTACATCCAATTTCTTAAAACATCTCTGGTGCCTAAAGACTTTGTATGTTTGCACTACTTCAGATGTTTTCCATATTAGTTTATTTTCTCACAATTTTACTTTTCTTTCATCATGCCACTCCCTATAACCACAAAGCATTTTTTTGGTTATATACACATTGTTCTCCTGTTCGTACCCTAACTAAACATACTTTGATTTTGAGCAATGTAATGACATGTTGTGGAAGCTATTTAAGTACCATTTGACTGCATCACCTCCTGTTGTTTCTGTGTCTTGTAGTGTCAGCCACACTCCTCTCCTCTGCCCATTACACAGACAAATGAAAGCACATGACAGCCTAGATCTAATTCAACATGGCTGACTAATGGACTGGGCTGGCAGCTACATCTGCTAGCCATTGAGATGAGGGTCGTTCACACACATTAGGGGCCGATCTCTATTCCAGAAGTCCAGGTAGTAGTGGCACTTGGGACTCTCGCTGGAAGATGAATTGCCCTGTAGTGGGCGACCAATATAGGAAGTGGAGCTTACTGCCCAAAAATAGAGCCAAATCGATGAGAGCGGAGAAGCTTATCCATTCTAGACTAAAGCAAATGCCACACGCATTGATTTTCACCACTGAATTATGAGCTATTGACCATTTTCAAGTCCTCTAAATTAGTGTATTTTCAAAGCAAGATAAAAGATGGTCCCTTAGAGCTGGGGTAACTTTTTATCCTCATAAAATTTAATTATTTGTCCCAAAAGAAAGAGTCTTGTAAAAAGTTTGTACAAGTCACACCATGCCGTGTTATTAGAATTTTTGTTTTTTTTTGTCTTTTGCATATGTGTCATTATTTTCTGTCTGAATTGGCTGATCTAAAGATGTGAGAGATGGAACCAAACAGTTTTGAGATTGATATGATTACATAATTCCATCGTTTAGGGTTTGAAAGTTAGGCATCCCAAATGTATTGAATAAAGAAAGAATAAAAAGCGATTTGAGTGAAGACGAGAGGGATTTTGGGAGAACAGGAGCTTGAGCAGTCTGCATCAGCCAGACTTGCTCCAATATGAATCAGAATTGTCAATACAAATCTTCGTATTTCAGCTGATCTGCAAGTTTGCAACTTTATCCAGCTTAGATTAGTCACGGCAGCGGAGATGGCCCATAAGTTTGTGGTGTAATGAGCAGAGGAGAGTGTCCAGAGTATGTGTTCTGTCCCAAACCGAGAAATTCATTCGTTCTGTGAAGACAGTGTCTGCCCGACTAATATATGGTTTCCACAGCAGTCTGTCCCTTCTTTAAATGTAACAGCTGTACTATCTGCACATAATCATTTGTTTTTGGTACGACTAGACTACTTTTAATCCTGCCATCAAAAGTGTAAGCCCATTTTTGATTATCCTATCCTTTTATTTTTTATGTCACATCTTGGTATTGGGACCATATTGACAATCTCGCAGCTCGTGAGCAAAATGTTTGGTGGGCACATGTCTGATGAAGATGTGATCAAGGCCAAAACTACATGCATATCAAAACTAGTGATAGAATTGAACTCTTTTGTATCACGGCGTTTTTTTTTTCTTTCTAGTGGCTTTGAAAATATCCCAGATGTAATAACAGATACAGAAATGTAATTACCTAATTCATATGTCACAGCCTAAATGTGTCACAATTCAAAATGTGTTAACATTGCCACGTTAAGCTATTAATAACGATTTAGTTCTCGATATTGGCAAGTACCTAAAATAAAGTACTTGTATTTTATAAAATGTATTACCTCTTCAAGTTTCCTCTGACCCCATGTCCAACTAGAAAAGCACTCATCTGTATCATGCACAAGACTTAAAGACGTAGATCAGGGAATTTGCATATGCCATTTTACTTTGCACCTGGGTGGATAAGCTTCAAACGTGAACAACTCTTTGGGGTTTAACTAAAAATGTTGCACAAATCCCGAGTGATCTTGACAACCAAACCTGGTGATTACATTACACTTGAGGTAATTTGTACAGGAGTTCAAGTATTACCATCCTATTATTGAATGTTGTCATCTAACCAGTAATCAGCAACACAGATAGAAAACTTCAAAATTATGACAAAGCATTTAATAATCTAATTTACTTTATTTTAAGTTAGGTAGAGACACTAAACATTGAAAACACATTTTGCTCATCTCTAGAGCAGTACAGAAATCACAAAATAATACATTGTGATACAGTCCAAAAGAAAATTAAGAGGTAGAGGATTTAGGCTCATCTTTGTGACTAAGGAATCAGGCCTGTTGGAATGTAGGTGTCACTATACGTCAGACAGTGAGGACGGACATGTGGGATGTAGTGCATTCACAACATTGAACAGTTGAGGGGGACTGAACCAGGCCTCAATGCTGTAGTAGCCTTTGGCCTGTCCGCCTACAAAGGAGGGCTTTAGAATAAAAAAAAAGTAACATACATTTACAATTTACAATATAAACATTTACAGAGGATACATGTGATCTCCATTACCCTTAATTCTTCCACTTTTCAGTACATCAACATGCTGCTTCAGTCCAGGATGTAGACCCCAGGAGCAGATTTCACGTTCAATAGTTTGTGTGTTTAGAATGTATGTGAAATTATGTTTTTCATACAATGCAATGAATGAATGCTGATGGGTCCCTCCCATAGTGACCTTAATGCACACAGAAATATGGCAGTGTCAAAATTACAGTGCATGTCTACAAAAGTGAAAATAATGACTGTTCATACAGCTTTACTGCATATCCACAATGGTTCTACATAAGGCTGGTGACTACTAGGTAAATAGTTAATAATTGGATACCTTTCTGCATGATTTAAAAAACAAAGTGACAGAATATAGATGTTTTCTTTTTCAAACAATAAACAAAACGGTCAAATAAATTGTGTGTAGTACACAGCTTTCTTTGTCCCAAAGGAACAATATGGTAAACCTTTGCATTTGCTCAATGCAAGTGCGCCAGTCCTTCAGTTGTCCCATTGTCAGCCACAGTGGTCATTTCCTCACTTGCAGGTTATGTGCGCCCTGTATGGGTTCAAACAGCGCCCCCTAGATCCCATTCTTTGCTTCATTGTTGTTCATGGCCTCTTTTCTTTGAGCCAGGAAGGGGTACATGCATTTATCAGCACCAAGGAACCGGTACATGCAGACGATGGCTTCAAAGGGGAGGATGCTGAGGACAAAGTGCCATTGATTTAGTTTTCAAGCAGAGACACGTAATAAAGAGGAGCTGCAGTCTTTAAAGCAACCTCACCTTTTCATAAAGTTCACCATGTAGATGATACGAGGAGTGCAGACCATGGGCTGGTCAGTCAGGATGGCCCTCATGGACTGCTTTACACAGAACTCTGGCTTCAGTGGCGGCAGGAAGGGCTCAATTTCCTTTCTGTGAACAAAAAAGCAGTTAAAATTATAGAGTTAGGAGCAACCTAGTGCTGTGCACCTCCAAGACTCCCCTGGAAACATATCTATGTAAGGTGCTATCCATTGACCAGTGCAGTGCAAGGCATTGGTGTAAATGTAAATCATGTTGGTTCAGTTTGTTGAAGGTGACATGAGAGAATCGAGGCCCACCTGATCCTGCAGCCCTTGAACATGCCGGTGTCCATCAGGTAAGGGCACACCAGCGTCATGTTGATGCCGTCCTTCTCCGAGGCTTTCAGCTCATGGCTCAGTGATTCATGAAAGCCAATGGCACCAAACTTACTGGCACAGTAATCCTGTGGGAATGGACGGAGAACAGGTTAGCCCAGTAAAAAGCACAGGGACCAGGGACAGAGCATTATCAAACACGCCCCACAGGCATACACGGCTCTAATGATACAGAGACAAAGGCCAGCCAGCCACTGCACCGGGCTACTATTTCATGAGCATTCTTCTCCAGTGCTTCAGGAGACTGCTCAGCTTGGCAAGAGTGGTTTGATGTGGTTCACTGTGAAGTAGTCTTAAACAAGAGCTTGGGCAAACACAGATGCTTGTGTGATAAAAATGAAGGGCATAAAGCGATAGACTTTTCTAAAAAAAGCACATCGAGTGGAAAGTAAAAATACAAGCCCTTTACTTAAACTGACAAGAGCTCTTTGACAATACCCTGCTTGTTTTAACTAGAAGAAAAAAATATTTTCATATCAATGAAAATAATGACGAGTGTAACAAACTCAGTTCCAATTAATCAAATAATTGTTACAAGCCCACTACAGTAATCAAATAATGCTGCTCTATACACAGACACACACTTATGCGCTTGGAGACAGTTTTAGGATTTAGTTAACGTTTCTGGAAAGAGGCTTCACTTTCTATACATCAAATTTAAAGATCTGCGTTCTGAGCAACCAACAGATTCATAATGAAGCAAAGTTGAATCATTGATCCTCAAAAATAAAAAAATATTTATTTTAAAAGTGTAGAACCAAAACTAAAAAAAAGTGAATCGTGAATGTGAAGTTGGTCACAAAGCAGATGAAGATGTCTCTGTCAGCTCGTTATAGGGCCCCTTTCCAGTTGGGGGACACTGACCCCGTCTCAGTGTGTTAGTTTGGCACAGAGCGTGCTGCAGAGAAGCACTGGTTTCATTTGGTGGGAACTATGGCAGAGTGCTGTGTGTATGATACGAACCTCCACTCCAGCTGTGCTGAATAAACCCAGAGAGCTGGCAACTGTCACAATGTGGCCATGATTCAGTTCCAGCATCTTGGGGAGAAACGCCTTGGTGGTCTAGAAACAGACAGAAAGACAAAGATTAGTTCACTGGTGCAGTTTGTCTGTGCCAAAGGCCTTTGATCCTCTGCGCCCCCCTATCGGCCCTGCACCATGGAGACATCTGAAAGAGGATTCACAGGCCCAATACTATTTAAATAGACTTTGAGGGACAGATATACAAATATGATGGAACAAATACACATTTCCCATATTAGCACAGGCTTTATGAGGGGACAGGAGCAGTCCAGCGTTCCCACACAGATCTGATACCAGAGAGGCTCTGCTGTGAAGAGCTGCTGACAACACCAATCGCAGGCTTCTGTTCCCTCCACTGGCCTAACAGTGCAGCCGAGCCTCGGACTGTTCCCACACTGTCCTGCGCCTGTCGGGATGCGCTCAGCACAACAATCGCAATGAGACAAGCGCAGAGATGAAAGGAGTTCAAAGCACTGCCACGTGAGAGCTCAAGTGCGTCAGTCTTTCCCCCAATCGCAGTTTGAAAGTGAGAAAAGCAACGGCAGGGAGGGGATTAGGGAGGGAAAAGTTATTGATTACATTTGATTAACCTACATATCCTCTTTCCTCTGGAGCAAGATTCTGCCTATGGAGCTGCCCTGCCATCAGCATGTGGCCCAGCAGGTGTGACATGTGAAGTCCAGACAACAGTGATAGGAACTGACCAATCACTCCCACAGCAGGGGGCAGCAAACAAGCACCAGGGTCTTTGAGGAGGCTGTGTTTGTGCCCCGTTGTTCCCCAGATCACACTCAACTGGTTTGAATTAATGTCACCAAGGTTACTCTCAAAACAGTCAGATTTAAGTGCCAATATGAGACGGCCGGTAAACCGTAAAAACTGAAAACAAACTTGTGAATTATTCCAACTGTAATTTGGACATTTGCTGGCGATCGGCTTTACTACATTTGGCCTTTGTTTAACTATTGACGAGAACCTATTCGGCTAAGAATTCATTATATGACTTTTAAAATTATTGGAAACTTTTGTAATGAAGTACAGTGTTGTATGGGCCTGGCCTGTGTCCTTTGCACTTGGTAGAGGCATCAGCCAGAGAACATGGTACCAGGTAGTACAGGCCATGAAAGCACTGGCACAGGGGGAAGCACTCATTAAAAACTGCAGAGAGAGATTAACTACTTCAGATATGCTATTATTTTATATAATCTACATTATGTGCCCCGAGGATGACAAGAAGCAGTGCGAGATATGGATTTGCTTAATATTCTGGACAAATAAAACTGGAAGCATTGCATCATATGTATTTTAAAAAGATGATCTCACTGTTTGGGATTCATTTTGATGCCAGGTAGAGCTGATGCCAAACATCTGTAATCTTGAAGGACATGCACATGCAGTCGTCATTAGAGGCCTAACGTGAGGGGTGCAAGAAACCGAAACCTGGGCAAAAGCTGAGAAAGGCGTGTGGAGCCAGATTGGCAGTAGATGACGAAGAAGTTGCGTGCAAACTACGCATTAACTTTAGATACAGTGTGTCGTACCCCTCTCCAGCCAAAGCTCCTGCTCACATTTAAGAATGACTTGATCTGGCTCCACTTCTTCCCGCTTACGCCAACTTTCAGCGCACCATTTTGCCGAGTGGTTTAAGGCCTTCGCCGGACGGACCCCGAGCGTGAGTAGTGTCTCCCATCTCGGACGTCCTGCTTCTCATGGCAGCTCTGGCATGTGGGTATGACCTCCGCTGACCTTTCAGACACTAAATGTGTGAAAGCAACCAGGGGCTCGTGTCTTACATCAGAGCGGCCGTAATTGGGTCTCAACGCTCTTGTTCCGCTAAATTACTCGCCGACACAGCCAGGGCCTCCACCCTAAACAAGGGTACCGTGCTCCCCGTACACCCCCACTAATTGGTTGTGTGCCCCCAGGAGCATTTAAGCCACACAAAGCGTCTTGCAGCTGGGGTGTCAGGCTGCATTAGCGCTAACGCCTCATTGACACAAGTATGAACAAAATATTGGCCCTCATGTTGGGCCAGATGGTCATTTAATTGGACTGACTTCTCCCTCAACGAGAGAGTCGAAGCACTGCGCCGGAACCGTTTTGATGCTGCAACAGAACGTGGAATTTGAAAAGGACGGCTGGACTGCACACTGGGCAGGTTGGAAGCTGTGGTCACTTGGTCCAGTCAAGCTCATTTGTCAAATTCCCTTGAAAAAGCAAACAAATCTGTAAAGCAGGAAGGAAAGGCTTTGAATTCAGACAATTGGGGAAGCCAATTAGGCTCTTGATCTGGGGTTGAATGTGATTAGTTGACAGGGGATTAGCTTCGAGGTCTGAAGATGTCAACTAAGTACTTCAAATTAGACGCAAAAAGAGGCGACTGAGGCAGGTGTATTGTAGCCAAGATAATGCAACAGGTAGCGTACATGTGAGACTGCATCAGAGACTGATGCGGAGCTCTGGTGTAGGCCACAGGTGCATGAGGACTGAGGAGGGGCCATATGAAAACCAGTCAAGTAGGACCCTTCTGCCTGGCTGCCTCCTTTCTCTGGCTACAGAAGGAATGCGGCCTGCGGAACTTGGCTCTTGTCGTCTGGCATCTTGTCGTCTGGCATCTTGTCAAAGCCGATCCACAGACAAGAAACCAATTGTCAGATAAAGTGGGTCAGCAGCAGCTTACCATTACCCTCTCGCCTGTGGACGCGACCAAACCACTTTTTTACTTCCTCATCTTTCCTCCCACTGCGCTTTTCCCGCCGTCATGCCACTCAACAAAACAGGAGATACAGTCTATAGGAAGTAGGAGCTTAAGCCGGTGTATTGTTCATAAACCACCTGTTGATAAGCATTTCAATGTGACTGATGACTCCCTTTCAAGTCCCTCCTGCCACACACAAACTCCAGATGTTGTTACACTAGATTGCTATGACTAAACACTTAAATGGCTTGATCACAAATTGCAGGCTGAAGCAATGAAGCCACCAAATTAAACGGAATGACCCTATGATTATTATAGAATGAATCATAGTCTGGCATCTGCACCTGCCATCTCTAGATCTTATTGGGATGTGGAGAGAGACAGAACAGTGAAGTGCAGGTAATGATTAAAGGGGAAATGTAAAAACGGAATAAAAAAATGCAAAACCGTTCAGTTAAATTAACTTTCTCAATTACTAAATATTGTAGGCTGTGTCCAACAAGACTACTGCATTCTCAATTATGATCTCAACCGCCCCTTCATTTTTTTTTTTTTTAAATCATTAAGAACTTCAAGTCAACGGTACAGTAATTGTGTGTACACAGGTGGAAAGTAGCGCCTCGTTCCTCTATTCATGGAGCTTGCCTTTAATGAACCACATCCTCCATTCGGCCTGTCGCTATTCATTAAACGCCTCCTTCATCTGCGCCTTCACACCCTCTACAGAATATAGGAGAACACAGACAGACACCGCGTCAACAACACAAACGCAACAATGAAAAAGAAAAAAAAGGCGCACATCCCTCCTTCATAAGACACACGAGACAATGGGAGATGCATAAGAGCAGTTCAGACAGGTGTGGGCCAGCATTGGAGTTACATCACAGACCAATTTGTGTGCAGTCACCCTGAGAGAAACGGTTGCCAGGCAATCTGATCAATTCTCAGGACTATGTAATCAGGAACGCATTGGACACAAATCACCCTTCTGCTAGATTCAAGAAAGATGCACCACATTTACTTTTCACCTCTTTCCCCTGAATGATTTTGAAACAACATTTCATAACGTAAAATTTAAAAAATATATTAAAAATGCACTAATACACTAATGCACATTATGAGCAAGGATCCTCTAGAATTACAATAAGAACTAGATTTAGAGATATGGTTCTAAAAAATTACTACAAGAAAAAAATAAAAACAGTTATAATTTTAAGTGTTGCGGGAATGGAGTGTTCCTCAATCTAAACAGGCATAACAACAATACCAATAACATATCTATATCATTTGTGCATACACTCACCCAAAAGTGCGCATGGCAGTTGACCACCATGGTGCGCTCTATCAGTTCATCGGGACACTCCAGCAGATGATGCCCAGAGACCACACCGGCGTTGTTGATCAGTATGTCCACCTCTCCCACGTCACGGCGCACCTTCTCGGCAGTGGAGTAGACGCTCTCCCGCTTCCCCACATCACACACGTAGGTGTAAACCTGAGGCTGAAACGGTGGGACTTCCTCCACTCCGCCAACAGGTCCTGGTGTGGAAAAGGCAACAGTTAAAAGAACACCACGTTACGACATGTACATGGAAGCCTGTGTGCCAAAGTCACTGCACCATGAGTTCACATAAACACCGAATGAGTGGAACACATTTCCGCTAACCGTGACAACTTCAACCTACCGTCTTTAGGCACCGGAGAGTCGAGTTCGTGATAAATCTGGCGCACCATCTCTGCGGTTTCCTCGTTGCTCTGGCTGTTAATGTCCCACAGTACCAGGATGGCCCGTCTCCGGGCAAACTCTTTGGCAAAGAGCCGCCCGAGGCCGCTGCCCGCTCCGGTGATAACGCACACCTGTCCAGCTACGCTCTTCTCCTTCGGCTTCACCACCCATTTGGCCCCAGCGGCCACAAAAGCCCAAAGTACCTTGAGAATTACTACGAAGAATTCCGCGAGGATTATCATCATCTCTGACTGTGGAGGCGACACGGACAATCTGAGAGCGAAGGAATTGTCGGAGCGTGAACTTGTAAAGACTGTGCGTAAATGTCGGCTCCTTCTTTAAGTGGAGTTGGATTGATCCGTGAGCAGCTGTTGCAAAACAAACCTCTTCCTCTGCTGCTCCTCCACTCAACTCATCCTTACGCATCGCGCTCCCTATTTATTCAGTCCACCCATCCGAGCCAGACCCAATAGGACGGAGACTAGATGCTTCTTATTAGTAAAGATTCACAACCACAGCCTACTTTAAAGGTGTGATGTAATCCCACGTTTTATATAATTTATATAATATATTATATAGCTTATGTAATATTAAAGTACTATAGCTGAATAGTTGATGTGGTCATAATATTATGTGAGTGGACTGAAGATTAAGGCTGACATTTAGCTGTAAGTGAGTTTGGTCTTTCTATCTGACCAAACATTTAAGATGCTCTGAATTATTTGTCATTATTCGTGTGGTTCAAACGGACTTGACAAAGACTCTTCCTAAAAAAGAGTTGCAAAGAAGAATATATAAACGAGGGCCTTCATACACTAAATGTCAGTATAAGATGGACACAATATCTACAACTTTAATATTGTCTTTTACATCACAATTAACACTGTGCACTTTAATGTTCTCCAGAAACTTACAAACTGAATGAAAACGTGGATTACTGTCCACCTCTGGAAGCTCCTGGTAAACGGTGGAAGAGACAGTGGCTCCCTCTTCTGTTGAATTGCACACATTACGCGAGGATTTCGATGGAAAGCTGTGATTATTTTAAACGGACATTTGCTGTTCAGAAAATAATGTATTATTTTTCAATCAATCTATTTCACGGTTTGACTGTATTTTTTTATTCCTTTTACAACACAAATTTGAAGGCATCAAGAAGGGCGACTCGCGGGGTCCTCACAGCCTTTATTGTGCACATGCGCAGCTAAAGATTTCTCTTTCTCGGTGGGCACAATGGCGGACACAGAGTGAGTTTCACCGCTGCTTCTTAATCTAAGTCCATCTTGTGTTCAAACACATGTGTCCGTGTGTCTTTGAGTGTGTGTGCGCGGGGATAGTGCTGTACTCTCTGCCTGTGTCCATATTTAGCACTAAATCTAAAATCTAGAGGTTTGATGTATAAGAGCATCTGCACTTGTACCGTCACTGCCTGGTGGCACAGCGAGAAGTGTCGTTTCCACGTTTGACTGAGATAACATGGACAGACCATGTATTTATGCATTAGGATCCGTGCTTTGCCAAAGGATCAGTTTTAATGTGTTAAAGAGTCAGTCTGTCTGAACAGTAGTATACACACTGGAGCCGGCTAATCACTGGTTAGCTTCCGAGTTCATGATGCGTGCCCACGTCCACTCGCCTCTTTAGTTTCCGGACAAACTGCCTTCTTAATGTTTTTGTCTTTGCTTTCTTACCAGAAAAAAGGTCCCGGCGGTCCCTGAGAGCCTTTTGAAAAGGCGAAAGGCCTTTGCAAAGTTGAAGGCCATGCGCATCAAGAAGATCCTGGCTGACAAAAAGGTAATACACGTTGAACAGAATACGATGGATGTTATGAAGGCAGCGTGTCAATGTGATTCTTTTCTTTTAGACTCGTAAAGTAACCAGGAAGCTGATCTACAAAAGAGCTGAGAAGTATCACAAGGAGTACAGGCAGATGTACAGGAAGGAGGTCCGCTTGTCCCGTACTGCGCGTAAAGTGGGAAACTTCTATGTTCCAGCAGAGCCCAAACTGGCCTTTGTCATCAGGATCAGAGGGTAAGTACACACCTGAAGTGGTGATTAGTCTTATTTACTGCTCAAATTGTGGTTTGGTGATGTACACTCTTTCCCCGACTTATCGACTATGGTGAAACAAATTTGTTTTTTAAGCCAATTTATCTGAAACCACATTTGGGGGGATAAAAAGGTTTTCGTAATTTGGAGTGTTTGCTCACTCTCTTTATTCTTTTTAGTATCAATGGTGTCAGCCCAAAAGTCCGCAAAGTCCTGCAGCTCCTGCGTCTGCGCCAGATCTTCAATGGTGTGTTTGTCAAGCTCAACAAGGCTTCCATCAATATGTTGAGGATCGCAGAGCCCTACATTGCCTGGGGGTAAGGCACCGCTCAAATGTATTAGTGGCTTGATCTTTTAGTGTGTTAATGATGTAGTACTTTTTTCCCCGTCATATCGACCATGGTGATTGAATTGACTTTAAGCCAGTTTTATCTGAAACCACACTTTCCTCTTTCCAATATATAGGGTTACATCGGGAATTGGGTGTTATAAACTATGAAACCATTTAATCTCCTCAGATACCCCAACCTTAAGTCGGTGAGAGAGCTCATCTACAAACGTGGTCATGGCAGAATGAGGAAGCAGCGCATTGCCCTGACAGACAACGCTCTCATCGAGAAGGCTCTTGGTAAGGACGAAACTTTAACATCCACATACCTATAAGTGGGTTGATGATGACATTTTTTTTCCCCGTCTTATCGACTTTGGTGAGAACCATAAACTTAGCCAGTTAATTCTGAAACCAGTTGCCTAGCTACATAAATGCAAACAAATGAAATGGCATTTGGAAATGTAGTATTTTGAGACAACTGTTTGCTTAACTCCAGGCAAATATGGAATCATCTGCATCGAGGACCTCATCCACGAAATCTACACAGTTGGGAAGAACTTCAAGCCTGCCAATAATTACCTGTGGCCCTTCAAACTCTCCTCTCCTCGTGGAGGCATGAACAAGAAGACCACTCACTTTGTTGAGGGAGGTGACGCTGGCAACAGGGAAGACCAGATCAACAGAATGATCAGGAGGATGAACTAGAGAATGGTGAGCTTAGTTTTGAGAAGGGGATGACTTCATAAGTGTGGTTGATGATGCATAATCTTTTTTCCCCATCTTATCGACTCTGGTGAAACTATGCTAACTTAAGCCAAACCTGTCTGAAGCCACCAGTTCAGTTTGCATGTTATATCGGTGAACCAATGGGTTGTACTGATCTTTATTTTTCTTTCAGGTTTTCAAGAGGACTTGTACAATAAAACGTCTAAAAGCCATTTGCCTGTTTTTCTCTATATGCACAAACATTGACTTGAACATGTGGTTGCCTCAGCCTAGGGTTTATGCTGTCACTTGGATTTATTTGACCAGTGATTTTATTTCTTTTAAAATGGGTAATCCATTTTTTTTTTTTTAAATAACTGGTCAAATAAATTATTTGATATTATTAACTTAATATTTGAGATGATCTAAACAGCCTCTTGGCAGCAGTCTGCCTCTGAATGCTTATCTAATTTACTTGGCACTTGTAAAGCTTTGAAATTACAGGCCTGTTCATCTTGAGACTTCAGTCTTTCAAAAGAAATTATAACCGAAACTGATCATTGCTCCACCCGTTAGCAACATGTGAAAACTAATGGTATCCTTCAGTAATGTAACAACTTTAACGACACGATTCTCGATCAGTTATTTCAATCTATATACATGGTGGTAAGCCACTATAGTAGCTGCAGCTTTGCTGCCTGTCTGTCTGACATAACTAATTCTAGGAAATGTCATGCGTAAAAACAGCTGCGACACTTCTGTGCAATGTCCAGAGGTCTCCCATCACGATACTAACCAGGCATGACCCTGCTCACCTTCAGGGATCTGGATTTCACTTGTAGTTGGTGCATAGTAGTGCCAAGAGCATGCTTTCATTTGGATTGCCATTTTTGGGGTTCTGAATAGTTTGGGAAAACTAACGGGTAAATTAAACGCTAATGAGTAGATGCAAAATAGCTTAACTTTAATATTAATGTGTTTAATAAAATTACAATAAGCAACTGGACCAACATGGCTGTAATCCTGTGAGGTAGTAGCGTACTTGTAAATGATGGTGACTAAAGTGATAAATAATATAAGACATAAAAGTGTAGTGTTGGCGGATGTGGATCAGATGAAGATGAAGTCATTGCTGTTTCCTGGTGGGGAGCACTTGTTTCCATGGAGACGGGAGTGAGTTGTAGCGGTTTACGGCTGTGATCCGAGAGCCGCGATGAGCCGCTGAATAGGGCCGTGAGAGAGCGTCCTGCTGTCGGCCTGTGCTTTTCTCTGGCCCTGGCTTCAATGGAAAGTCCATCATGATGACATTTCAGGTTAAGACTGCAGCGGTTCCTACGGCCAAGGTCCTGATCGCTGCAGAGGGAGGCTCGAGTGTCAGCAGCCTCCGCGGCCCGGATCATGTGCCTCTGTTTTCTCCGGGCTGCAGAGACCTGAGCACGGGAACATCTGGAGGACATGCATCTGTCCGACACAGCATGCATCTGATGAAGAGGTTTCCGGTCATACAGCCTCTGCACAGTGAGTCCGTCTCTGAGTCTCTGGGCAGCAGCACTTCACCTGCGCTGACTCCATCTCATCTGCATCACTTGCTAGCTGTATGTCTATGTGCAATTACGGAATTCTGCTTTCTCGTAGAACCGAGGGATCAAAAGTCCTTGTTCACTACATTCATCGTTGGAGGGTAAGGTCATACTGTTCTTCAGCAAATCAATGATATTTATTAAAGCTACTTTCAATCATAACCATAGTTTACACACTATAGCAGGCGATAGGCCGCGGTGATGCACTCTTCTACAGTCTGCTACAAGCCCAGGTTGTAACCATGAATATGTTTAGATCTCGTTTAGCCAAAGATGACCCTCCACTGGCCAACTGCAGTGAACTTGAGAGAGACATCTGTGGAAGACACTTTATATTTGACACGCACAGTAAGTTTGAAGCACTTCCATATACATAGGCTTTATATGTGCATAACCATTCTTTAACAATATTGTATTTCTGTTGAACTATGCAGTAATGTATAGATACAAACTTTAACTGTTACATCCACTAGATGTCACTGCTGTTTTAAATAGCCCTGTCACATTCTGGGGTGATAAGACAAATCAGTCCTTCACAGATGATGACACAGAGCTTTAATCATGTTTAATTATTTAACCATGCAGTGCCAAGCTGAGTGAAAGCATCTGTTTTCATTGTGCTTCTTATGTTTCGTGTTAATAGGTGTAAGACCAGAGAGAACCAGATCTATGATTCGTCCTTTGCCAAAAGATTACCACGTGCACCGGCCAGGCAACCTCTATCCCCTCACCATACCCAAGGGGCGGCACAGCCACAAGAATGGACCCTTCATCCTAGAGTAAGCATTATCCTTATATTCATGAACTTACCATCCTGCTTTTTAATGAATCATACTCTTGGATTTGTAGTTGTAATGAACCGTTTGAACTGACCTCAAGTCCAGCCGTCCTTGTTCCCTCCACATATGTCCTCAATGGCAGAAACACCTTTCCTGTGGGAAACTGCAAACTCAGCAGGTACCGTCCTAAATAAATTATTCTTGTATGATAAATAGATCCTCAGTTGTTTCTATGTACAACACATTTCCCCCCTTTTTAATGCATTTTAGGTCTAAGGCAAATTACCCAACTTACCACCTGCAGACTGTTAAAGAAAACCAAAAGAGTAAGTCGTGTCTGTGAAAAAATTATGAACAATTATGACGTGTTATTGCAGCTATTCTATCTGTATGATTTTTACCTTTTGATTCATCAAGTATTTGAACTGCTTTACAGTGTTAATTTGGGAAAAGTATGATTCATATTCAAAGTAAAATAAGCACGTAGTCAAACTTGTGAAAGTGAGTTCTGTGGCTTGATTAGTCAAGGTAACAAAACTGTAAATAAAGCATTTTTTGTCATTTGCATTGGATTTGTATTTGATAATGTAATGTTTCAGCCTTGATAGCAGTAGTCTGTTTATAGGGTAGAATTTGGTCATTTTCAAATATGCATAGTAATGTTTGTGTGTTTACATTCCTGTCTGTTCCAGTCCAGTCCTACGCAGACCCTGTGATGGGAGCCTCTCAGTCCTTCTTGCACCGTATATCAGAGCTGTCCTCCCTCCAGTGTGAGTCTGTGCGACAGGAGAGGCTGAAGAAGATGAAGAAGCCTCGCAAACCTGCCTCCTGACAATCACCACTGCACCCGAGGGTCAACACGTCCAGCTCTGTGCCAAGGCCATCTGAACTCAATAAAGCCCCTAGAGTCCCCTGCTCCTTCCAGTGGCTCGCTCTGACAGCTGTTCTGTCATCTATGATCTTAGTTTTCTGTGTCACATGGTTAATCTTCACATTCTGGGACTCTTGACACCCTCTGGTGGCAGTTGGACTGTACAACACATCGTACTTCTCTGCATGACATCTATTTTAGGAAGCATAAAATTCTCCTTTGTGATATTGCCATATTTCAGACTGTTTTATTAAAATGTTACAGATATGCAGCACATGTTTAGCTCTTGAAGTGTATAAGGAATCTATTTAAAGTAATTGCTATGTCAGATCATAATACCAGTGTCTGGCATGTTTAGCATAGCCATTATCGTGCCTTGGTAAAGGTCTTCCTCAAATAAAAAGTATATATTTTTCATGAAACAGTTGTATTTGTGTTTGGATTTGCTTGATACATAAGTATTAGTTTTTGTTCCTCTGCATTAGGCAGTGAGGTGTACATTTAAGTGGCTGTGACCTAGAAAGCAGAGCTCTGCGGTCTGACGCTGGCCCCTCTCCTGCAGGTTTTACTGTCCTTTTTATTTGGAGTGAAACAAAATGGCTCTGAACAAACAACACAATTGTGTCCTAACAGGTGCCGCACAGACACTGCCCACAAGCAGTATATCATTTCACCAGAACTCAGGTGAACCTTCCCCGGATGACCCAGACACTTTGGCTTTTGTTGCTATGGCCCAATTCTGGGTGTTCCACTTACCAACACAATATATTATTTTGTATCTAATTAATATGATGCAAGTGTGAAATCTAACGGCTATACACATGATTGTTTAAAAACCAAAAAAAACTTAAAAATGATTTCCTTATAAAACTAGTTCAGAAAATGTTTCTACTAATTCAAACAATTTTTAGTACCAAACATTTAATCCTATTATGGGCTACTGGGGTAAGTAATATTTATTTATATAGCACATTTCAGAGAGCAAGGTCAGCCAAAGAACTTGACACAGAGCACAGATAATTTATTACTCTAAAATGTATTTGGACATGACGACGTCCATGAGCTCACCCATTGTCAGAAAAAACAAGCTGCTGTGAGGTCACTACAGTGATCACAGCACGGGAGCAGCTTGTGTTTGTGTAGCTCCTTATTTAAGCCACACTTGCCCCAAACATGCACCGACTGCTTGAATTTACAGCATTGTGAACAAAGCCACTCATTCATAAAAAACGTGTTGTTTGTCCAGGTGTCCACAGCAGGAGTCAAGATATTTCATCGTAAATAAACGCTCAGTGTCTATATACCCTTTTAAGATGAAAAGGCAGTAAAGCTAAGATGTAGTCGACACACCCTTAAGTGACGTGTTCCGAGTGCATGCGTTTCCATGGAGATGACAAACTGTTTACGGTTTGCGGCACGGTGGCTGAGTGGATAGCACTCTCGCCTCTCAGCAAGAAGGTCCTGGGTTCGAATCCCGGCCGGACCAGGGCCTTTCTGAGTGGAGTTTGCATGTTCTCCCCGTGTCTGCGTAGGTTTCCTCCGGGTACTCCGGTTTCCCCTACCACTAAAAATATGTCCAATAGTTCTGGCATATGCCTCCTGTACTGGCGACCCCGCTCCCATCTCTGTGTGGAGTGAGAGACAAAATGCCCAAAATTAACAATTGTAAACCGCTTTGAGACTCAGATCTGCAGTGAAAAGGCGGTATATAAATAAAAACTTACTTACTTACTTACTTTACATTCCCCACACAGGTGAGTGCTACAAGTAAAAAAAAAAGTTCATACAAAATGGTTAAAGACTACTGTGTGAATGTTTCGGGAGAGCGTTTTAGCTTCTACGTGTTGTAATCTAAGACCGTTGTAAAGTGATTCTTGTCAGGTCCTAATCATTAGTCAGTGGACATGATACCTATGTTAGTCATGCTATAGCTTACTCCAATGTCACGCTAATCCGCTACTGTCATCGGCCTACTTTTCAGTTTTACTTCAGCTCAGAGTTGACCTAATAACAGCTCAGTATAGACAGCATCCGTTTCAATCGTAGCTAATTAAATGTAATGTTGCATGTAATGGCAACGGTTATTTATGGGTAGATACAGAAAGCTTTGCACAACGACACAATCCTTGTCTTTTTCTCATTGTCTGGGTTTTTAAAGTTTTTTCTTGCAGATGCACAAGGGTCTGAGGGCAGTGGTGATGATCCAGGACACTTGAAACTCCAACGACTTTTATTAATACTGGTCATCTGCCCCTTATATGTGTTTTTAATCATTGCATTTCTTGTGTTTGAACTGATTCTCTGATCTGTGCTGGTGAATCGACAGTGTTGTAAAGTCCTCCGAGACAGCTACTGTTGTGATTTAGGGATGAACAAAAATGATTTGAATTGGGCTACAGCAGATCGGACATGCATGGAACACCTCCCCAATGACAAAATCTATATATTTGTTGCATTTTTAGCACACATTTTTTGTGTCACATCCACATCATGCGGAAGAACGACTTTGTTCCTTTTCCAGGTTTATCAGTGAGTAGAGTATAAATGTCTCCTCCATAGCTATTGTCAAAAGGTGATATTGGGTCGTGTTTTGTAGTGGGTTAGTGTAAAATGCATGTTTTTTCTGTGTATTAATCCCACACTGGTCATTATTGCTCTGATTGCCTCTGACAGGTGCACACGGCCGAGGACTGGACTCTCTCAGAAGTACAACACACATGGTTTGATCTGTACTTTCAACTCCCCCAGACCAAAGCAAACTCCACCGAGGGCTTGCTTCAGTGGAGAAGGGTGAGCCTCACATGACACTGACCACATTCTGTCAATGCACCTAAATGGAAAAGATGTTACTTTATCTGGCCATTTATCAAGAGCAGTATTGCAAAACAGCCAAACGATCACGTGGGCAGCGTCAGGTCGACTGTGATGCTGCTGCAGAGGAGCAGAGCAGAGATGAAGGCTGTTAATCCCGCTTGACCCGCACCTCAAGGTAAGACATGGATCAAAGCCTCTGTTTAACCCTTTAATGAAACTCCATGAAGAAAGCATGTATTTTGTTCTTTTTTTTGATTTTCTAGGTTCCCCATCCCCTTTCAGGTAGCTCCCCAAAGGATTTATCACATGATCTTGAATGAATAGATTTTGATTCATTACATGTCTATTGTATGTATAAACACAGGGTTATACAGTATCATAGTATATATTTGACATGTGTTCTCCATGTTTTGTTGTAATTATCACATAGATTTTCATTACGACTGCAAAAAGGAAAAGCTCTCGGCCTTTTCTGTTGCATAAAAATAGCTCTCTGATTGAAAGAGGTTGGAGACCCCTGCATTAATAACTCAAATAATTTTCTTTTATGTTTTTTTTACCCCTAGTTATTAATTGTAGGCCTTTACCAAATGGTTGAGATGCAGTTTGATGGTAAAAGTGCCGAAAACCAAGTGGTAGAGATGCTCCAATGTCTACAGTATATAGCACCTTGCTGACTGAAACAGAAAAGGTTACAGCCAAAAGAATCATGCTTAAAATGTGTATGCAGACCAGCTTCAGACACTAGATGTCAGCATAGCAACAAGTTTTTTGATTTATTTATTTTTAACCATTAAAAATAAAGTCTTTATGACCCATTTTATGTGTCAGTATCTACTACCTCTGAATCAGCGCAGGTGTATTATCAAAACTTATACAACATTGAATTTGGGTTAGTATGTGGCTTAAAGAATGATAATGAAAAATGTGGATTGATCATAAAAGATGCGTGTAACAGTCGAGTTAAAATCTAACACAACATATTATTTCCTTCCTGTCCAGAGTAATAAAATAGATCCCTCCCACGTCTGCAAATAACGCCAAGTCCTCTAGACAGGGAGTGCAAAGAGCTGACACCAAAAGATATTCACCAAAAATATTCACCTGTGGTATGCAAGCAATGCCACTGTACACACTGAATCACAATCCCAACAAGATATAAGATTAAACACAACATTCTTTTGCAGATTGGGAATTGGATGTTTTAGATAGCAACCCACGGAGGTGACAAGAAGCAAAAGGGTGGCTTATGCTGTTATACTGCACTGGCCCCCTTGGCACAATTGTCTGGAGACCTGCCAAAGTGCGCACATTCCTGCCTTTCTCTTTGGGGATGTTTAGAGATTTGGGATGGCAAAGAATGGACAGGAAAAGGCGCAACAAGAAAGCCAGTGTGGTCTGCATGGCGGGGAGGGGGGAAAAAGCAACAAAATTAATAAATCCAGCTGATGAAAAACATTGTTGGAGTATCTGGGAGTATCACTGACCCCTCCCTCCTCTGCGTTGTTAGACAGCAGTGGGAGGGAAGCAGGGAAGGAGCAGCGTGCATAGTCCAACATGAAGATGAGAGCAAGAATAATGGAGCTTTAAGGTGTTCCAGGAATTGCATTTGGGATACAGGAGAGGAATTCCAGGTCACAAAAGAGCTGCTATTCAGTCGTCTTGTTTTTTGGCCATGACTTAAGCCCAGATTTTAAGATATTTCCACAATGGGGTCCACTGTGGGGTTGGTGTACCTGCTTCTTATGCTATGTTCCTTGGGGGGCTTTGCATTCGGGGGGTGTGCGGGTCACTGTTGCCGTGGGAGAGATATGAACTGCCTGACGACTGACTGGAGAATGGACAGAGTCTACGGGACGTGCTACTGCGATGAAAGCTGTGGGAAGACCAGGGACTGCTGCTTTGACTACTTCACAGAGTGCCCAGGTTTGTTAGAAATGAATCACTGATGCACTATACACACCTGAGGAGATAAGATGTTTCAGATAACCCTGCCGAAGAGATAAGGATGTGTTATCAGGTAGACATGAAAGAAAAACAAGAAAAACAAGGTGAGGAGACGGCCGGTGTAATGTGGACTTACAAGGGGAGGAAATGTTCAGATTTTTCTCATATGAGTGACACCTTTTGGGTAAATATTAGGGTAAAACTCATGCAATCTTGCTGCGTATGCTTCTTGAAAGTTGTACAAAATGCCAATATGAAAAAATACATAATATTCCGAAAAATATCTGAAAGGCCTTTAACAAGAAGTTTCTTTGAAGAGTCAGATGTATTTTAGTGCCAAACAATTGAAATGTCTCTACTTCCATATCTTTCCAATGCACCATCAATAACAAAACATGTTGAAGATTGTAGCTGGAGAAATATACATTTTTGACAAATTCTCAAAATGCAGTTACTGTACATGTTTTTGCAATGGAACTTTTCAAATATTCAAACTGATAAATACAAAATAAAAATATAATACTGCAATATTTCCACAAGAATATTTGAGAATAATTTGTCTCTACTCATACAAGAATACTTATTGTCCTCAGTTTTGTATATAGACTCTGCAAAGCAATGTCTTCCTGGCTGCACTGTTGTTATATAGTTAGAATATTGTTAGCATCATACATTTTACAGTCTGGATAACTGACTTGTGCTGAGATCATTTCCACCGGGCAAAGGTGATGGCTGTCTGTAATTATGTGAGTGATAAGACACAATCAAGGCAGTGTGCTGTAACAATCTTACCACTAAATACCTCAGCAGTCCGGTGTCTAACCTTGTTTCTCAGACGCACGTAATAGAATTAGTCCAAATATTTAAAGAATGCCACTTCTTAATGAGGCCGTAACAGGAGCAAATCAAACAGTGCACCTAAAACAATATTTTCGTGTGATGATGATAAGTAGAGTGATCAAAGTGAGGTTATGAGACATCACAGGACTGCGCCTTTGGCCCGGCTTCAGTGCCCTGCTGCTACATGTTTAAATCAATGGCTCAGTGGACAAAGCCTGTTCCCTGCGTTTATTTGATACGGACAAAAAGAAACAATGGGATTTCTGGAAAGCAATATTTCCGCTGTCTCATAAGGAAACATGTTTTTGTTTTTACATGATATTTTCTCTGGCATTTCTCTGGTGTATGGATCAGCACAGGGCCAGCCAAACAGTGAACTTGAAAGTTCACACAGCAGGAACTTTCTCTTTCTTCTTCTGAAAACTGAAAATTCAAAGACATTTTTTATGCCATTTATTGCTAATAAAATGTGTGTCTTTTTTACAAATATGATGACAACAGAAACTATGCAAATAGGGTAGGAGTGATTAAAAGTTTCCATCCCCAAGTTCTCAATAATGTGTATTTCCTCATTTAAATACACACTATTTAAATCTATTTCAATACCATGCTCTTTTCAGCATGGAGTCGCTTGTGATAGTTATGGTAAAGCTGCTTAGTCTTCTTGGCAAAACCCTCCAGTTCCTGTAAATTCCAGGGCCACCATGCATCAACTGCACATTTGCATTCTCCCCAGATTGGCTTTATCTTATAATATGAGAATAGAAAACACATTCATTTTTACAATAAATGTGTTACACAACAACTATGGATGTGTTGTCATTCATAATCCCCAAAACAACTTCATCTCTGGCTGGGTGTGTACACTTTTGAGCACAACTATATATTTAAATAATTTGTCATGACTTTCATTCATATTTTGTTGTGTTTTGTGACATTCATAACTGTATATCTAATGACTCTGATATGTTCCCATGCAGCTCAGGACTGTGCGGTGAGCGACTGGAGCTTTTGGAGCGGCTGTGCCAAACCGTGCCAGCCCTCGATGCGGGTCCGAGTGCGACACACGGAGAGGCAGCCTTCCAACGGCGGAGAGGCCTGTCCCGCGCTGGAGCAGAAGGCCGGCTGCCGGGAGTACAGGGACCACACCGGCAAGACCTGTGGAGCCCACTCAGGTCAGCAGACACTTAAAACACTGGTGTTTACCCCAAGATATTACAGTGAATTGTGAAATAATAACTGAAATATACCTACTGTACATTAGTGGGTGAAGGGAAGCTGGCCATGGGCGTCAAACCAGGAGGCAGACTTCAACTTTTTGTCATAAAGCAACAAACATTCATGATAAAACGAGGCAAAGTAAACAATATTGATGAATCTATAAAACAATATGATTTTCTATGCGTATCCCCGAACACATTTAATTCTAAAAGGTTATATTTTGGGCTATAATAACGTACTGTGTTAGAAGGTGCCTTTCTGAGCACTCAAAAACAAGGTAAAAAAAAATCACAAATAATAATACATGCAGAAAATATATTCAAATCTCATCAGTATGAAAATAAAACTTATTCTATGGGAAACAAGACAGATTCAGATTCAGTTTATTCAGACACTAGTTCAAAACTTTTGACTAGTTCAAAATGGCCTTATTTGTAAATGTGTGCCCTTAAGTCAGTTTAAAACTTTTGAAACAGATCAGTGATGCATTTCCCTGAAGTCTAGACACCCTATAGGCTGTGCAGACAACAATCAGAGTTATTTCTATTGCCATCGTAAGTTACAGAATTTCACAAACTAGGAAAGAAAAATAGGGACAGGCCTTGGTGAGATAACTGAAAATAATGATAAAATCTGTATACTGCATTTTCTGGCAACACACCACGAGTGCACATCCCTGTAAACTGATCAGCTCTGTTTCCTGTGCAGGCCCAGCGTTCATCACCAGTATGGAGTTTGCCAAAGGTCGGCCCAAGCATGACAGCTATGGAAACCCCCTGCAGCCTGGGTGAGATTCTCATCATGGATCTAATATAAATCCTGTCAGAAACACGCCCTGGTGTGATGGAGGTTTTACTGATGCTGTTGTTCGGCCGTGTAACTAAAACCTATGAGAGGAGCAGCTGTTGGTGTTTGCTCACCTGCATGTCTCTCCACACACACACACACACACACACACACACACACAGCCCTCTGCCTTTGAAATCAAAACCGGAATATTAGAATACCGCTCTGATGAATGGAGCATCAAAGCCTGTATGGCAGAATGGGAGCTGTGACCAAAGCGAAACTGTTTTCCAAGATCTCAGCTCAGTTCTTGTTATAGAGATTTTTACTCATCAGTTTTCAATACCAGATATATTGACAGATTTAAAGAATGGAAAGTTTAGACCTTTTTAATGTCATGGGTTTGTTTTGTGTTTTAGAGTTGCCTGAACAATCACTCACTTTTTAAGTACACTTCTATCTGAATTTTGAAACATTTCAAACCAGTTTCACAATTTGCTACTTTGTCTTTAACAAAAACTCTTTCTGGATGAAACTTCCCCTTTTCCCTTTTTCAAGTATCACACAGGCTATCTCACTGTCTCAGCTTAAATCCAAAGTTGAAACTTTTTTTTTACATTATAGCTGAAAATAAAGTATTCAATCAATAGCAAATATGTTTCACAAATAGTATATTGTATTTATCTAAAAATAAATTCTTGTAAATGTGAAAGGGTGTGAACAAATACAACCACAACCTGCTGTCCTCATCTTACATAGATCCTACAGAAAGAGCCCTGTAAGATACCATTTGAGGCTTTAGGAAGAGTGAGGGTGGTCTTTTTCACTTTTCTGTCTGAAGCTGATCCAAAAATGTGTCAGAGGTTAGTTTGAGAGTCAATCACCACCATCTTAAACATGCTTTGGTACAAATCCTAAAGCCAACTGAATGTCCAGACGTTAGTGTATTAAGTAGTGTGACCTGAACCAGTCCTGATGTCTGTGTCTGCAGGTTCTGTGTGGAGTTCCTGCTGGAGTCGCGCTCGCCTCACTGCTCTCTGCAGAGCCGGCCGCACACTCACTGGATGCGGTACATCACAGAGGGCTTCAGGGTGTGTGTGGCCTGTGAGCCCCCCGCCATGAGCAACCACAGCGCCCGGTGCCACGGAGACGGACACGGCACACACAAGTATGTAACTATGAGCTGAGCTGTCAAATATACTGTATGTAGAAGTTTGGACCATCAGACTTTTGGTTTGAAATGGCTGGTGGATTAGTACATACATTTACTGCCAACTTTGTGCAGCTTCTTTGATCCATAGTAATAGGTATTTAAAGTAGCAATATGTAGGATTTTCATGTCAAGTCATCCTTAAATGGCCCTAATATGTCAAAATGCTCTTTTCCAATACTTCTTTAACTGGTAACAGTAGTTCAGCCGAGTTAATTGAATTTCAAAATTAGTTTTACAGCCTCTAAATCTTGTTTTTTTCTTCATTTTGATGTCCCGCCCTCCACCGTTTCACCAATCAGAAAGTCCGTGATCCGGGTTGCCAGAACTCACTGTGTCGAGCTAATCTCACTGGTAAAGTAACATGTGGCATGAGTCAAATCATTAAAAACAAAACGAGGATTTCTCTTTGTAAAAAAAAAAAAAGTGTTATAGATTGTTGTTCTAAAAATCTACATTCAGATATTATGGTCCCAGCTGGTTTCGTCTGCATATCTGGAAACCTGAGTCAAGGAGAGTGGGAGAGGTTGCAGTACCACTTCTGGTCACATTTTTTTTTTACATACTGCTCCTTTAAGATATTTCTTGTATTGATTAAAGCTGAAGTACCTAACTTTTAAAGCATACAATATGTTAAACTAGTTCCTTACCAGCAGCTGAAATTGGTACACAAATGAAACTGCAGCCTTTGATAACAATGCAAAGTCAATTTTCAGTGTTTTATATAGAAAATCAAACAAGCGCAAAAAGTATAACAAAAATACTTTACAATAACATATGAACAATTAGGTGATATTGGAACATTTCTGAAGGCACATTGGTTGAAAAACAGAGTTAGCGAATGACTGGCTTGTATTTTGTTATTTTTGTGGTGATAAAGCCCGGACTATTAGCGTAACAATCTGGAGTGCTTATTGGAGTACCACAATGTTCCACAAAGAGAGCCAAAGAAAAGGGAGGTGAAAAGAGAAAGAACATGCCTTCAGTCCCGGAGAAGACAGATTTACCCTGCGCCTTCCAACCACGTTCAGGAAGCAGAAACGGGGATCTTTCATACAATTGTCTGCAAAAGCTAAAGAGGAAGCAAGTTATGGTTCGACTGATTAACAAAGAACATTTTCTTTCAAGATTCTTTCACATTTGGGATCAGTACAATGTTATATTTGCTAAGAAATAAAGTCAGGCCTTTAACTTGAATGTAACTTTGTAGCTCACATGCTGAGAAGTACAAGTTACTGAATAATAAGGAAGAAACTTTGGCAGCCAAATTTGGATTCAAGCACTTTGTATTATAAATGGCTCTAGATATGAATCAGGGTTGATTAAGGATAAGTAAGGAGGATCAGAGGTTTCTGTATCGCACTGGTCCATAAGCTGGGTTTCTTTGCTGCCCTCTCGTGGTCAAAGTACTTTCCTGTTTAGATGTGAAATATTAGATCCACATGGTTTTTTTTAACCAGTTGTTATTTTTGTGTTGCAGAGAGGCTGTGCTACACTGGCAGGCGCTGGGGAGTCCTCAGTGCAGTGGGACGTGGAGAAGAGTTCAGAGGACCAAGCACTGCCACTGCCCACCACAACACAGCTTTGTTTTCATCTGATCCACAACAGATAATACAGGAACTATACACAAAGCAGACGTGTGTAATCATTCTAGATCACTTCTATATTTAAGTTATTGCTGATATTTTTCATTTGAAGTATGTTCTATCATGTATTGCGACTACTATAGCACAACACCTCACTTTTGACACAAAGGAATTTATTGTAAAATAAAGAGATTGATCGAATAAATGGAGAACTTTGTCTTCCTTGTGTCTGATACAGTGACCGTGTCACTGCAGAAGCTGCAACCGTCAACCTTTCCTCATCATGGACATATTTACATAAACGAGTTTGTTCCAAAGTTTGAACAATCATTGGCAATCCGAACTAAATATCAAAAATGGTATAATCTTGGCAGTTCAAACCACATGAGACTTTGAGAGGGTTCTCCATCGGTCTTTGAGCATGACACCAGTGCGGCTCCCAAAGTCAAAGTCATGCAAAATGCGAGACCAATGCCCCAAACCATGTCGTTGCACACCAACAGTGAGTTGTCGGTCTTCTTCCCATGTCCATTTCTGAAGAAATAAAGTGAAACCAACAAGAATAATTAGCCTGGTTACCATATTAATCTACTCTTTTTACGTCTGCCAGACGACTACCACTTTCTGTTAGCAGAAAATGGTAGTCGTTTTCGATTAGCCTGGGAAAGCCCACGCTAATCGAAAACGTCACAATTCTTACAGTGCGTGGTTTCCGCTTCTTTAATGCCGTGGTGTCCATGTCATTGAACTCATCAAGGGCCGAAGACCGCTCTGCAAGAAAAGAATGCACAACTTTTTACAACAGCAGCTGAATGATGGACTTTGAAAAACGTACAAGTCGTTGGTTCAATTACAGTGAAATTGATGCTCACCTTTCTTGGAGATTCGTGTGAGAACCACTGTAGGCCTTTTGCATGATTCTGGGATCCACAGGTCACACATCTTTGTTGAAAGAAGTCTTCGTTTTGATTTGTTGGGACTTGACAAAAGCAGAATATTTTATGTCAGTAAAGTTATTGGAGTAAATAAAAAAAAAGTACAAATATTTATGGACAAACCTCACACAAGACGATTTCTTCTTATTCCTGTTAATAAAATGAATACAATATATAAGTAACAAGGTAAAACATACATGTACTGTACATACAAATATATTATTCAACTGGCTAAATAATGTTCATATAAAGTGTGGAACGCCCTGACCCTATTCTCACTCATGCTACATGTTAAATATCATACATTGCAAAAGGCTTTAAACATACTTATTGACTTTAACCGTGCAGGGCTCTGGAGTTTGGTCGTCTTCGTCCTCTGATATTGTGTCTTTCAAAGTCTCCTTGCTCCCAGGTGACTGCAGTGCCTTGGCGCCTGCCTAATTACCAAAAAGACATAACATGATCCTTTATTAATCATGTTTCTAAATATTACCTGATCATGCTCTTCTTAAGCAATTAACTTTCAGGTTCAAGAGTTTCCTTAATGAGAAGGCAGGATTAATGAGGCCTGTCATACAGCAGCCTTTAAAGTTTAACCTTGGTCAATAGCCACTGTGCAAATCACTCCTGAGGCTTTCATAAATAAGGACAGAGCTGCTGAACTGGCCACTTTGTCCTTCCCACTCATTTTGGGACACATTGACAATTAGAGATCAGTCGCATCAGCAACTTATATTAACACATGTGAATACAAAACATGATGCTGCAGGATCAAACCTCCTTACCTTAAAAAGATAATCAGAGGGATTGCTTTTTAGAAAGGCATCCACAAAAGTGTCTGTTGTCTCCAAAAGGCGGTTGTAGCTGAAGCTTGTGATAAATGGGTGGTAAACGTCCTTTGACTCAACAACCGTTCTAAGTTTGACCCTCAGAGCCTGGAGAAAAGAGTGAAGATGAAAAACTGCCAATATTTGACAGACACATTGAGAGGACAGACACTGACCGATGGAAAGTCGAGATTGTCCTCAAACCACTGAAGAACACATGATGCACTGGTTCCTTTCTCCATGCACACTGCCACCGACTAGAATAGGAATGAGTCATTTCATAATATCAACTGTGAAACACGAGAGACATTTGTATTACCTGCACAAATAAAAGTATTGAGAGATTTTCGGCCAAACTTTCATCATCTGCCGTTTCTTTAAGTTCACTCCATATTTTTGCAGCAGACATCAGAGGCGACACGTTCTTGTCATTTTCAAAATTCACGTCTAAAGAAAGGTAACATTTGTTTTTTTTTGGTGTTATCATATATTTTGTTTAAAATATATCTTTACCCAGATGCTGCCCATGTATCACTCTGGCAAGAAAGGCACAGACTAGAACTTTCTCATTCTGAGGCATGTTCTTGACAACGTCTAATTTAAAAACAAAAATGAGAAGAAATTAAATTATATTATGGCAGTTATCAGTTTTTATTCTATCTTAGTATTAGATGATATTAGAGCGACAACGTTATTTCAGCGTGTCAATAACAGTCCAGCTCAGTTTTACACACAACTCTCAAATTGTAAATTTGTCCTGCGTGAGATCAGTAAAGTCTTTCTGATCTTATCTTAGGTCCAATATTCTTGACAGGAAACATGAACGCAGTAACTAGTCAGAATTGTATTTATTGACTGATCCAGTGCTTTTCAACCAGTGAGGCTTAAGATGTTGGTGTTGCTTTAGAAATTATCCAAAATCACCTGATAATGTGAAATTAAAATAATATGAGAAGATACTTTGCACTTTTTTAATTTTCTATATAATAGACAGATAATAACTTTGGCATTGTTCATATATGATCATAAAGGCTGAAGTTTATTTGGTTTCAGTTTCAGATGGTGGGTACGTTATTATTATAGATCCATGGGTGGGTAGTGTGGTCCCAGCGTGGTGTGATTGTTTTCAATGATTTTGAAAGTTTTCGGCTCAAAAAGGTTGGGGAACACTGATCTACTCAAATAATGTAAAATCAAAAGGGCCCATGTATGACACTGGAATATTGTTATCCATTTTTCTCAATCCGGAGCTGAAGATCTCACAGGTACAACAAGTAGCTACTAATATGTGCGATGGAAGTTACTAATCTATTTCATTTATCATCGAGGGGACGTGTCAGCGACCTAAACTTTACTGTAAATCATAATAATTACAGTTTAAATATATTCCGTAATTTTCTACCTTCAAACGTTCCCAGTTTGTTGTTAAATTCTTCCAGATTTCTGTTTTTGAAGTTGCGACAAAGACTGAGGAACAGAAAGTCTGAGACCCAGTGCGTGACCACCGCGGAGACCCGTGAGAAGCGCACGTCGTCCTCCCGCGGCTCTGGTTGTGCAGAGCTGGAATCATCCAAGTCATTCTCCTTATCGTCCACGTCCGTCATGTTGTTGTCGTTGTTGTTTCCCGCGCTCGGATAAATCACCGTCTGCTCCGTGTTCTGTACTAGATCCATGCTTCTGTAGTTCAAATGTTGATCGTGTCTGCGCTTCCGCTTCTCTGTGCACTCATAAACCTGCTACGCCCCCGTGTGGCCTGGGGGTAGTACTGCTACTCGACTGCTGCTTCTCGGGAGAAAAAGATAATTGTTTTAAGATTTTATGCGGAATATTATTTACAAGGACACAGTCTTCCTAAGACTAGATTCAATAATTAAGTTTGTCCATTAGAGGGTCCTTATTTTGCCCAACAGCATGTTTTCTCTAACTTTTAGGATCAACCAATCACAGCGTCTGAAATGATGTCTCATACCATTACAGTCCATGCTCATTATTATAATAGATCCATGGCTCATACCTAGCAGCGGGGTCGGCCACGCCTCCTCACTAGATAGGAATTTTTGTCCATTCCTTGCTCAGAGGTCTCTGAATGTTCTGGAATAACTTTTAAGATAAGATTCCTTACTAGGAGTTCATAGGTTTATAAGTATAAGTTAGGAGCTCTGAGAGAGGACTCTGAGAATCTTTGGGCATACATCCGAAGATATTCATCTCTCTTTATTTATCTGAAAATATCCATATCTAAAATTGCAAAGAGAAACATTTTCCTTAGATCAGACCTCTGCTATCTCCTTCAGAATGGTTGAAATCACACCATGGAACGTTCCTGATAAAGCAAGAACAATAAAAAAAGTAGACTGCACAGTTTATTAGAAAGGTTTTTATAACTTACAGAAAAGTATATAATTAAAAACAAAAATACATACTTGTGTTGATATATATGATGTCAAATGGGCAGTGTTGCTTATGGACAACACTGTGCCCATGTCATCTAACACAATTATCAAGTTTTATTGCCAGATTTGCTTTATCTACATTTTCTAACACTGGTCTATCACTACTGTTATGTCTGCATAGGAAAAACAGGATCAGTAAATTAATAATTTACAATGAAGCACAGAAGCAGCGTGGCTTTATGGTGTAGTTGTGTTTTTCTCTGCCTTGAAATGTCTCTTCTAATAAGAGCATGCTTCAATCATTTGAAAGATACTACATTTCTTCACAACCAAAAATATGACACGCACAAGTTGTATATACACATTTATTTGATTTTCTGCATATGCTAATAGACGTAATGGGGGAACAATGCTCTACAGAAATGTTGACATACATGTACCATAACAAAGTGTGGTCACATAATTGTTCAGACTACTACATGCATACAAAGATGATGTCGCTTTGTACAGAAAAAAAAAAAAAGAAACAGTCTGTAGCTCCGAATATGTTAATACAGATAAGATAATGAACGATAAAACAAATGTAAGAGGCAAAATACAACATAATAATAAGAATGCAATAGCTTAATGCTTTATAGAGATGTGTCATTTAAGCATGAGTGACGTGGACCATAGCCATTCTCTCGAGGGCAATGCAAAACCGTTCCACTGCATATTGTATACAGGCTGAATAATGCTGAGACACTCCCAATTTTACCGCCATCTTCAACACTATTTATTTCAGTATACACACAAAAAAAGTCCCAGGGGAGTCTTGCAGCCGATCAATCCCTTGTTCCTCTCTATATCCGCCCTATAGCTGTCACAATGAGGGATGAGTCCGGGCCTTACACGGAGATGTGATAATGACAATCAAAAGGGGCTTGGAAGTAAAACTGACGTGGAGAGTAGTTTGATTGAAGGTCAGACGAGTTTAAAATAAGGGGATTTTATGTTGACGATATGTTAGGTTGATGTTGAATTATATGTACACAAAAGGGGTCACAAATGGTGCATTGTAATAATTTAGGAGGTGGGTTTCTTCTATTTATTAGTTTACACAGGACTGGCGGGCATGCAACGTGGTTAGAGTCTAGAGCTCCTGTGTTGGCAAGTGAAATCACACACTATTGTGTTATTTGATTATTCTCGCATGTGTTAAATAGGATTTCCAAACTATTACTGGCCAGAAGTTTTGTATTGTGCTCCTTTCTTGCCTCACTGAAGACTGATGAGGTGGATTGTGAATGTAGTACACATATTACCCGGAGTGCTTTGCTCCAGGAGCCGAGACATCAATGTGGATTTGACAACATCACCGTTCGAAAAGCTGTGAAAGAAAAAACAGAGTTCTATCCAATTCAGAGAGTTGTAGAAAACCTGAGAACTCAACAACATTACTTTATCTATTACATAAAGACCTGATTTTTCCTATAAAATTAGATTTTTTTCTGTACAGTGCTATATGAACAAAGCAAAATGACTTGCTACCTTCTCATAATCTTTTATGAAAAGGCACGCAGCATTTCAACCACCAAATATGGCAGAAAAATTGTGGTCGTGCTCTATTTTGTTTTAGAAAAAATAGAATCATTCTCAACATTGATTCACAAAAAAAGAAAGAAAAAAAACACAAAATATATTTTTGTGTGGCCATTTAAATAATTATTAGACATTAACTGGATTTCATTCAATCCAAATGTAATATAAAAGGCCTTGGTGGTTAATTTGGGTCCATATATTGTCAATTTTGTACTTCATTGATATCGTTACGAAAAGGTCAAACTAAAATTCTGCATTGTTTTTGAGATTCTGGTCGCTGTAATACTGTTCGCCTCATATTAAAGACATAACAATTGAAAAATACATATAGTTTCTGCCTGTACAGTTATAAATCCCATAGACAGAAAATAAAGTGCCACAATTCTTGGCCTGCATAGATTGCACATTCCACACCTTTCTGCGACAACAAAACATGACTCGAGAAAAGAAATGTAAAAGAACAGACAAAAACCATCCTCTCATTTATGGCCAATACTTTCCTCGTGTGAGGCTTGTGAGGCTCCCACACACGCGCTGCTAATAGCGACGAGCTAAAACAACGACAATCATTCCAGCAACACATTGGAATCAAAGGCAAGATACAGATACAAGATATTTCAGTCAGTGTAAAACAGAAATGAGCAAAAATGACCAAAAAATAAAACTCCTTTGGGTTTTTAAGTTAGACTGAAAATCATTATTTGTTCACAATAATAATAATAATGATAATAATAACAACAATAATAATAATAACACAATAAATTACAGTCCAGGAAGCAAACACATATACAAAATAGAAAATATGCTCTTAAATTGATCAGCAGGATCAGATAGAATTTGCAGTTGTACCGAACAAAACTGACATCAGGGTGCCAAGGATATGACCAATGTGAAGGAAAGTAAAATATTCAAATAGACTCAATAATATAAATGTCATTGTACTGTATATGTTATTACATTTTATATTCATATGCAGCTGAAATAGACAAGAGCCTGACAGTGTGCTTGATTTGGTCCGTTAATGCCACTAAAGGAACCTCTATTGGTTTTCTACTACCTGTTTTTAAGCGTTGCATGTTTTTGAAAGGATCACTGACCGGGTGTGCTGTGCTGAACCAAGTCCTATTTGGCTGATTCCTTTCTAGTCTATGTAGATTCACTATGACCAATCTAGATCTATGTATTTTACATTATTTCATACAAGATACTGAAGTTAAATTATAGTTGTGGGGCTAGACAAGAAGTCCAAAGCTGTAAAACACTGCGTATATTTGGCAACTACTAGTGTGTGAATTAAATGAAACCCAGGGTATTGTCTTTCTTATCAAGACCTATCTATGATAATTGATTGCACCACTGAAACAATTATTTGGGAAAACCCAGAACATTTCAGACAGTTCTCAAAGACTGTTTATCACACTGAAAGAAAAAAAAAGAGAAAACATTGCAAGGTCGTCATGGGAACATTGCGTTTCCACAAAAAGTAATGATATGTTTTTAGTTTTGAGTTCGCTACAAAGCAACACCCAATCTGAGGGGTTTCTGTGTTTTTCTCGACCCAAACCCGCACCCGGCGTCCTCTCACATTCATCTTTTTCACATTGCAAATTATCAACAGTCTTATCGTCTTGCCATCCTGTGCATTGTCACTGGCTTTGTTGTCCCGGTATTTACAGTGGAGCGCTTTCAGCAAACTAAGCACCGTAAAATATCTTGTCTTTGTCTAAACACATGCTTTGTACAGTTAAGTCCCCTTTTCTTAAGTTTGCTAGAAAATAATTATGTACATCAAGGGGGCCGTGGGTAAGTCTACCTACAGCAAGTGATGACATCCTTTTTTTCTCCAGAGCCTTGCGATTCAGTTTTGTCTTCTTCAGCAAAACACAACACAAGCAAAAGGGACTTGTCATGCCATGCAAAAATATCTTTTACTGCATCCTTGTCTTGCGTTCCTTAGTCTTTGAAATTGCTTTATAGTCACATGCTGGTTTCACAGGTCGGAGAAAGACTGCCATCTCCTGGTATCAGATGGATTTCCGTTGTAAACATGTGGTTCTCGACTTTGTTGTGTCCACTTTGGTTGCTATCGGACTCCCCGCTGGCCCCAACTACGCCTTGGGTGCAGTTTTGCGCCGCCATCTTTGGTGACAGAGGCCCAACCACAGCACCTGCCACCTCCATGAGATGATCCTCTGCTGTGGGATCCTCATCTCCAGGCGGGGTGTCCATCACCAGCTTTGGGGATAATGATTCCTCCTCCGCGATGGGAACAAGCTCATCCGAACACGGTATGAGAGGGGACAGCTCTCCATCGGGCGATTCATCTTCAATGATGCTGGAGCTGATGTCTCCAGGAGAGGTAGTGCTTGGGGGTGTCAGTGGACCTTCTGCTGAGTTTCTGTTTCCCGTTAAACCCTTTATCTTCAAAGGATTGTTCCCTTGTGGTGAGATTGTTTCCATGGCGCTATTGAAAGTCCCATCTTCATCTATGTGGAGCTCAGAGGGATACAGGTTTCCTGCGGTCTCCAGGTTATCAAGATCTAAAAATGGAGGCTTTGGAAGATATTGGCAAGGACCAACGCCATCCTCAGAACAGCCAGCTTCTTGCACTTCCGTCATCTCCAATTCCACCTCCTCCTTCAAAGTGAAGTCTGGACTTAGGGTTTTCTTTGGTGAACCAACCCCGGTCATAGTTGTGCTCATGGTGCTTATTGAACTTGCAGTATTTAAATTGTTGAGGGATTGCGATTTTGTCATCTGATTGTACATATCTTCTAAACTCTGAGCGTTTAGATGTTGTGGTGTAGTGTGTCGGTGTTGCGGACTTCCTGATGTGACAATAGCTATTCGATTGGGGGAGGACTCTGGGATTCTCTTGTCTGGGGACTTTAGACTAGTCTCTGATGACCCATCCTTTGTTGAGCCCCAGCGACTTGGCGACAAGTGGTTATCAAAGGTTTTTTCTTCCCCCTTCTCGACCACTACGTCTATGAGCTCCAAACTGCGAGCAAAAGCATCTTTGAGATTCATGGATACGATACTTCCATTCCGCTTTGCCCTTTCGAGCGCCTCTCTCCTCTTAATGGCTTTTTCCTGTCTCTTTTGCTCTTTGTAAAACTCAGAGAAGTTGTTGACAATAATAGGGATTGGTAGGGCTATTACCAGCACTCCTGCAATACAGCAGAGCCCTCCAACAATTTTACCAAGCAAAGTCTGCGGGTAAATGTCACCATAGCCAACGGTAGTCATCGTAATAGTGGCCCACCAGAAAGACGCAGGAATACTGGTGAACTTTGTGGCGTCTTCGTCTTTCTCGGCAAAAAACACCAAGCTGGAGAAGATCATAATGCCCATTGCGAGAAATAGAATAAGTAAACCAAGTTCGTTGTAGCTCCTTCGCAAAGTGAAACCCAGAGATTGGAGCCCTGTGGAGTGCCTGGCCAGCTTCAAGATCCTCAATATTCTCATGATGCGGAAAATCTGCACCACGCGCCGCACGTTCTGGAACTGCAGCACGCTTTTGTTGGACTCAGTCAGAAAGATGGTCACGTAGTACGGCAAGATGGCGAGCAGGTCAATGACGTTGAGTGGGCCCTTGAAGAACTTCCACTTGTTGGGAGAGGACAGGAAGCGGAGGAGGTATTCCATCGTGAACCAGGCGATGCACACGGCCTCCACGTGGGCAAGCTGCGGGTTGTCGTTGGCCTGACCGAATTCGTCCAAGACTTGTAGATCCGGTAAAGTGTTGAGAGACAGAGCGATGGTGGACAGCACGATGAAGAGGATTGATATGATGGCCAAGATCTGCAAAGAGAAACAAAAGTCCAAGTCAGAAAATGTAAACGAAAATCAGCAGGAAAAAACTATTTAAGTAATGGAAATGTTTACGAGAGCGTTGGAACTGAAGACTAGCTCATATACTCTAAAATATCTTTGGCACACTGTATAGAAATTGATTCATCCGGTCGGTCCAGGTTAACTGAGCGGTTTTGGCACAGTAAAGTTATGAAAGGGAATTACTTGAGGCTGCCTAATATATTGCTGGTAGTATTTACTATTTATAACTTTGCTGCGGTGTCCTTATTTCTTCTATATTTCCTCATCTGCAACAAAATGCATCACACAGTTGGCTTATAAACCAATGAAAAAAATTTCAATAACCGCTGAATAGAATGAGATGAAATCCTTCTCAAAAAAACTTTACATTTGGAAACACAATTTCAAGCCAACACTAGCTATGGACGAAATACTCAAGTGCCTTCAAAAACGTTTTAAATTTTTCTGCTATCTTAATTCACATGTTATGAAGTGTAGACTGTGAATTTCTAGTTTATGTCAGATTAGCCTACTTGAATGGTGACAATATCAATAAATAGAGAATGAACTCAAAAACTGTATTAGTTGATTCATTTATTTGATCTATAATACAAGGGTATCTAGAGGACAATAAATCAGAAGTCATGACATTTTTTTCTTTTGTAGATTTTGCTTTTTTACTTTGAAATTCAAGCCAGATCAATCCCTCCACCAGCGACAACCCTGCTGACATCACAATCTCATTCTGCTCAGGTTTTTTGTTCTGTCGGTGTTATGGCATTGTCGTTCTCAGTTCTCCCCCTTTAAGAGAGTACTTTGTCCAGCTGCACCATCCACACACACACACACACACACATTGGCTTCAAATTTCTTCTGTGTAAGATCAATAAAGTCTAAAAAGTCTATCTTATCCTATGTTATCTTATCAAAAGACTTCAGAAAGACCAAACTCGATCTCCAAAGAACCAGCCAGTCCCACACCACTGGTTTCGAGTCGCACCTCTAAACCATTTATAAAGTGTTATTTTTCTCAATAGCAAACCGGTCCACAGGGGTCCCTGGGGTAAGATTGAATATAGCCGCCAGCTTCTATCAAACTGCGTATTGTTCTTGGCCAATAATAAAAAGCAGCATCAGAAGTAGTTTTTCTCTATATATCGGCTTTCTCTCTCACACATTTGTTCTTTTAAACAGTGAGGATAATCAATGTTGAAAAGAACAAAAAATGTCTATATAATGTCATTATAGCTATCTTGTGATTTCACCTCCTCTTTTTGCCGTGTTTGCTTTGTGATACCTCAATATCGTTCAAGTCAAACTACAATAGTTTTCACGTTGCAAGGGTAAAGTGCCTCAGAAGAACATCCGACTTAATCCCAGAGATTGGCACAGTTTGAAACTTTTCCCCCAGGGGCTGTATCTGACCGATTCATTGACCTCAGTAGATTATGGCAGGTGGGACGTCAGTGAAATATGCTAATTATGGGGATTATCTTTGTGTATGAGATTAAATATTTTACACGGTTCTCAGAGTGCGTCCTTTTATTCTTCATATTTTATCTCTGAAAGTACAGAGCATTTTACAATGCAGCTGGGATTGTCAAGGTCTTCCATAGCTCCACTCCGATCGCTCTGTCAAGACTCCGGTCATCAATCTCCTGTCGGCAGCACAACACCTCAGATTAACCTTTCTGTGGAAAATGTTGCAGATATCGTCGAGTTTTGTGGGAAGTCCTCGATGACCTGGCCCAATATAAAAGCGATTAGAATCTAATAAATGAAGCCTGAGTGGTACTCATACCGATACTGAGGAAGGTGGTACTTCGAATACTAATCACAGCGGTACAAGCCACATGGGATATTTCAGTTCCAGTCATTTGTTTGGAAGTGATACAAAGAGCTGCATACAAATAAACAAATACTATTTCACTGGGTTTATTTATCTGTGGAAACATGTGCCCTTCCGCTAACTACAGTACAAGTACATTATTGCTTCATTAAAGCTGGAGTACCTAACTTTTTGTTGTTTCATGAATACATTTGGAGTCTTGTTTATGAAACGGTTTGTGAACAAATCAGGTCAGATCTTGATCGTATTAAAAAAAAAGTTGGATCTTTTACATACTGAGAACTGATTGGTCCTCTCAAGCTGATCTAAGGATATGACAGAAGCAAAAAGACATGCATGTAACAATTTATGAAAGAAACAAACTGTTTTTGAGATTTTACTACAGACTTAACCTTTGGTGGCTTTGAAGTTAGGTGTTAAGAGAAGGTTAGATTAGGTTAACTTTTCAAATTGTGAAGATGGAGGGATGTTAGCACCAGTTAGACCCGCCCCCACAGGTTCTTGATTGGATGCAATTATTTAAAATCCGTGATAAACAGGTGAGGCTTCTCGCCATTGGTCTAACAATTCTCCTCCAGCAAATCTTACTGGTGATGCTCATTCCAAGGGGAGGGACTTTTTTTAAATACATGTATTATGAAAAATACTTAACATAGACACACACAGTTTCCAATGTCAAAAATTAATAGAAGGTAATAGTAAAAGTAACTACTAAAACCCCCATCAATTTAACAAACGTCAGCACCTTTTCACTTATTATAGTACTACTATCATTACTGATATGAAGTGTGATCAATAACATTTCTATAATACTTCGACCATACATTTCAGGTCATCAGCTCAGTGAGGTGTTATTACTTTACTTTAAAGGCTTGATGATCTATTAAAATTAGAAAACGGATAAATAAAGTGAATTCTATGCCTCAATCAAGAAAACTATCTGTACTTTAAAGAATGAACTCCATGCTCCCTGTGTGCGTCTCAGTGGACTTGCATGGCTCAGCAGAGGAAGTGCCATCACTAAATGAATGCTGCTGACTGTCGGGTTAAACCTATTAGTCTTAAAGTGAAGCCACCTAGACCTGACCTGGCCTGTGGCAAAAACACTGCTGTCACCGGAAGGACGCACAGGGCTTTTTGGCAGGGTGAGCTCACCGCCCGGGTGCCAGGCGAGTCCATCAGAGAACCTGTGCTTGTGTTCTGATGCACGACCTTGGCACAGCGTCAGCATCAAGGAAGAGTCCATTACCGTGAAAGATAATGGGACCGCACACATTTGGCTCGAGCTGCTGTGAGTATGAGAACGCAGGGATAAAACGGCGAGGGAGATATCTATATGATCATTATAGGCAAATTAATGTAAACGCAAACAACAAGAGTTAATGGCATGTTGCGAATAAGGGGCATAGTTACAAAGCTGGGGTGAACGACGCAGCCTAAACAAAGTTAGCGCTTGATGACCTTTTATTTCTAGTGTTACATCCCTTTACAAGCTGATAACATTACTGCAATATGTGTCTATGCCTGCAGTTCAGGGATATGATTCTCTGCAGTTTAGTGCAAATAGATGAATATAGATCTACCACATTTGGTGTGGGGAGTTGGGTTGTAAACGTCCATGGTGATATAAATCTGTGTCAACATTTAGAATGTAAAATAAACACGTTGTTGGGCTGTAGTTGACGAAACAAATTCATGGTTGGCATGTGCATTCATCAGCTAAAAGAAGCTCAAACACACTTCTATCCCTTCAGTTGAATTCGACACAAACCGACGAGATGGTACATGTATTATTGGTACTTTACAATATTATAAAGACACATCGAACTCAACAGTTACTGATAAACTTGGGGAGGAAATGCAAGTTTAGTATTTAAACATGGTGGCGCGCTCTGCTAGAAACGCTGTGAGCTGTGAGCAGGCTCTGGAGGCTCTTTATGAATACAGACACATACATCGAGCTCTTTGAATTATCAATGAATTATCAATGACTCTTCTGACTATCCTGGAAAAGCCATGTTCCAGCTTCTCCCCCCTGGGAGAAGCTGGTTGTTAAGATGCAGGACATCTCACCATGCCAACAGCTTCTTCTCAGAGACTGCCATTAGTCTGAACAAAGGACTTTGAAGGTTGATCGTCCACTTTATCGCCTTGTTTCACACTGACAGTTGGTTTTTTGTACATTAGGTATGTTTTAATATTTGTTAAGTGTTTCAATATTGTCTTTAAGGTCATCTTTGGTGCATAATGGGTACTTTGCACAAATATTCCAATGTGGTCACTGCAAATGGATGAACTGAACGTGAAAGCGTCATTCAAAGTGAATGGGTGAACCTCAGGATTACCTATGACGTCCTCACTGTTCTCTGTGAATGGACATCAGTTCTACTTCAGTCCTCTCTGCGCAGCTTGTATTAACCTGCACTAATTCAACGGCAGTAGTTAAGAAGGATCAATTACTTTGGCTCAGTCTGGGCTGACCCCTGATCTGTGGCTATGAGATGCTGTGAGATTATGAAAAGGGAAATGAGATGTGCCTCTGCCAGCTGATCTTCTGACCTGGACACAGCGGAAATTGGACAGTGTTTTTACAAAGAAGGATGAAAACCGGACAAAACCGAAATGATTGTCTTTGGTCCCGAGAAACAAAGAGAGACCGTCATTTGTCACCTTCAGTCTCTCTCCCTAAGGCCCTTAAATAAGGTCAGAAATCTGGGAGTAATAATGGACTCTGACTTAAACTTCAATAGCCACATTGGATCGCTAACATCAGCAGCTTTTTATCATCTGAAAAATATTGCCAAAATTAAAAATATTGTGTCCAGGGCAGACTTGGAGATTCTTATCCATTCTTTTGTTTCCAGTAGGCTGGATTACTGCAATGGCCTGCTCACAGGTATCTCCAAACATGCAGTAAGACAGTTGCAGTATATTCAAAATGCTGCAGCCCGAGTCCTGACTAGAACCAGGAAGTACGACCACATTAGTCCGGTCCTCAGGTCTCTGCACTGGCTTCCCGTGGCCCAGAGGATAGACTTTAAAGCAGCTCTCCTGGTGTACAAGTCTCTCCATGGCCTTGCACCAAAGTACATCCATGATATGCTAGTCCCATATGAACCAGCCCGGACTCTGAGGAGCGCAGGGACGGGACTCCTGTTAGTGCCCAGAGTCAGGACTAGACAGGGGGAGGCTGCTTTTCAGATTTATGCAGCTGGAGTCTGGAACGGTCTTCCTGAGGATGTGAGACTGGCTGCCTCTCTGTCAATGTTCAAATCCATGTTAAAGACTTTTCTTTTTTCCCGTGCATACAACTAGAGAATTTTATCTTTTTAACACACCTTGTTATTTATTGTTGTAACTTTTTGTGTTTTTAACTATTTTATTGTTTTTAATTACTTGTGTGATTTTTATGTTTTTAAATTACTTATGTGATTTTAATGCTTTTTAATTACATATGTGTTTTTAATTGTATTTTAATGGTGATGATTTGTGCATTGTGTGGTGTGGACTGTGAGGCGCTTTGTGTTGCCCTGTGCAGGAAAAGCGCCCTATAAATAAAGATTGATTGATTGATTGAAAATAGATGAGTAGTTTGATCTTAAATTAATAAACAACAAACAAAAAGTATAATACATTACAGCAGGAATAGTTGTGTGGAAATCTATGAAAATCGCTGATCATTATTATTACATTATCAACAAAATAGATAATAAAATGGGGTAAAAAAGTTGCATAAAACACACCCACATTAAATGTAGTCAAAGTCCCAACAAAAGTGTTAATTTGTGCCAAAATGCCTCTGCAATGCAAATCATATGTACTGTATGTGTATAACAAACAAACAGAAAGTAAAGAAAGTACAGTATATTACGGTTAGAAGCTGATTCTGCACAAATATCCCTCCTTATAATTAAAAAAATGCCAGTGTTGATATCCCAAAGTGAATAAATCAACAGCTGACTTAATTTATATTCCGCCTGCAGCTTTCCTAAAATTTACGGTAATATGAAACAGACGGAGAGCGATAAAAGATTATTAAATCCCACCTGACTGATTTTATTTTTACACAGTCCTCTGGAGAAGTGGATGATACTTAGTGCCTTTTCACTCCTGGGTGAAATGTAACGCTTCATAAAAGAATAAATAGCTTGACAAACGTCCTGTCGACAAAGAGGTCTTTTCACAGGACACACTTAAAAAAAACGAGGGAACTGCAAAAACATGGAGCTGTCGCCATTGCTGTGTCCTGCAAGGCTTGATATGGCTCTATGTCTGGATTATTAGTTATTATGTACTTTTTCTTTCTGTCCTGTTGCCGTTTTTGGTCATGCAGCTGGGATCAATGCCATTTTCAGACATGATTTTAGCGGCAAATTTTGTTTTAAGAAATTGGTCATCATTTTCTAGTGAAGTAACTTGGTTGAGCTTTTAAACTTATTACTGCATTTTTCTCTCATCAAAGAATGACCTGAAGTTGTTTTTAGGTCCATCCACACTAATATCAGAAACTTGTGGTACAAACATGTTTTGTCTAAATGTCATTGTAACCATTACATAGACCCATCTGCCCTTTAAAACAAAAGGATTGCTCCTAAATTAGTTCGAAAATACTTCAATAACATTATAAACAAGAAAAATTACAATATAAATATAATATAAATATACATATTTTTTTAAAGCCAAAAATAATATCTTGGTAATTTTTCTTCTTTGAATCAAATTGAGATTTAATCATTTCAAACAACTTTTTACAACCTTTGATAACATCGTATCATATTTTGCTTAAGCTTATGAAATTACACTGAATTGAAACATGTCATTGATTAACGCAAGGGAAGAGGGGGAAAAAAAATCTGAATTTTCCCCACTGTGGGACGAATAAAGGATCTCCAATCTTAATCTTATATTGTCCAACCATAATTGCATTCAGACAGACCCCGATATGAAGTATGTGTCAGATTGCACATTGAGCTGCAGTCATATATAAAATGTACTATATGAAAACGTCCTTGCTTTCCTTTCAAATGTACAGACGTAATTTCTTTGTCTACTTGAATAGCGCTGCATCAAATAATATGGTCAAGAACAAGCCAGCACTGTAGCTTAAAGGGAAACTGTCCTTAGCATGAGAGCAGAGACACTGAGCTAGGTCTGTATCGATCCAATTCACTCAGAGCCATGATCGGACGGCTTCCCTGCGACCCCTCTCCCTCTTCATCCATTTCTTCTGGACTAACTTAGCTCTATCCGGTCGGTTATGATAATTTTGGTTGCGATCAATTTGTGTGATTATGGCTATGCTAATGTATATTGATCCCTGGACTTGGATGGTACTTTATTCATGCATTAAAGCGTATCAAAGTGGAAACAATATAATTAGATGGGTTAAATTGTGTTTAAGGGCAGCCTGTGTTGTGTGTACATAATGGACTGATGTGGTGTGTGCTATTATACAACCATTATCAACAACAAAGATGCTATTATAAATCTTAAATGATTTATAAGGCATAATTACATGGGGCGTGACTTGAAAGCGGCGCCCTAGACATTAATCCGCCAATGAGGAGTGAAACCTCTGCACTTTCTGCTGCTCCAGTGCATGCAGCGCTCCATAGACTTACAATATTTTATTTGGTACAGTTCCCATTTGGAGCCATTAGTGTCGGAAAAAAGGTAGCTTGAAATAGACTGAAAAACAAAATCAAGTAAAATGTTCTACAATTCTGACATCTCCCGTAACGTACAATGCATAATAATGAGTTCCTTTTTTTATTTCACTTTTTTTATGGACCTATGACAGCTCCCAGCGTAGTCAATATTATGGCGGATATAAGCCATTTGTCTTGGCATAACACAGCAGAGTCATGCTGTGTCATTTGTAATTTAATTTGTCATCAATCAGTCGGAGTATATGATGTGTCCCTGTGCGCTTTGGCAACCCTTGTCAAAAACATTGGCCTGACGTGGCGCCTGTCACACTCAGGGACAGTGAAATTGAGGTGACTTGTTATTGCTGTTTAATGAACAGTGCACTCACGCTGCAGCTTAGGTGTGTGACGTTGTTGTCATACTCCACTCACAGCTGCACTCAGAGAACAGACGGTGTCCGGGAAGATCGGGCTTTGTAACACTGTACTCCGCAATTTATTCTCACCAAACTGCTACAGCTTCCTGGCTGCGGCAAGACAACAGAAGGTACAGCTACAGCCTTTGGACGACAGACTCCTGGGAAAGTATATATTGAAA